CCTCCAGAAGTGGTGAATGCTCCAACACTGGAAGTTTTTAAGAAGAGACTGGACAGCCGTTTGTCTGAAATGGTATAGGGTTCCTGCCTGGGCAGGGGGTTGGACTCGATGACCTCCAAGGTCCCTTCCAACTTTATTATTATTATTATTATTATTATTATTATTATTATTATTATTATTATTATTATTATTATTATTAATAACATGGGCTGGAATCACACAAGACTAAATAAGATTCAATGTGTTTGGCAAGCACTGCCGCTACCTTAGTATATTGTCTATGTGCTATGCTATAATGTGGTTTGTTTTGGTTTAATGTATTGTGGGAATATAGCTGCTATATTTTATGAACCAGGATATATAATTTAGAATATAGTGCAAACACAAGCAAGGAAGAACATTTGAATTCTGTCTATTGGTTGCTTCGATCTTTCTTCTAAGCCAGTGTTTCTCAACCTTGACAATTTTAAGGCATGTGGACTTCAACTCCCAGAATTCCACAGCCAGCATTGCTGGCTGTGGAATTCTGGGAGTTGAAGTCCACATGCCTTAAAATTGTCAAGGTTGAGAAACACTGTAAACAAAACTGTACTCAGCAAGCTAAGTTTCATGCCTGCAGCCTCAGTGGAAGATTTTTCTTCTTTGTATACTTACATTTTCTGCTGTAATGATCCTTGCAAGCTCATCTTTATTCTCTATCATCAAATCATACCATTTATGAAGCAAAACCGCTCTATCCTGAATAAAAAATAAAATTGTACTGTAGAAGGATCTTTGTAAAATTTGAAAACAAAAGCAAATTTGTCTAAATATAATTGTAACTTATAGAGTCTTACTTTATTCAATTATGATCATTCCAAATCTATCAAGTAGATCAAAGTTCAGTCTAATATTATTCCTAAAACTAAAAGCAGATTTCAATACATCAGCCCCATAGTCAAGTAGCTATGTTTTATACTATCCCACCTGTAGTTAATTCAAGCACAGTTTACTCAGTTAATTTAAAGTCTGATTTTTTTTGACTCACTGAGTTTGCATCATAAGCAATTTGTAATTAAAAAGTCATTGATTAGTTTATAGTACAATAGATCTACTGTACTGTACAAACACAGGCCACGTGAGGTCTGAAACAATGCAAGAGGTGGAAAGATACTTTGTGTAAAAAAACAAACAGACAAAATAATTAACATTTAAAAAGCATCCAAGAGTATTCCAAGATATTCAGAGGAAAATGCTATGCATGTCTATGCAGAAGTAAGTCTGACTTAGTAAAGAATTGACTCTTGTTTTAGGCTCCAGAATGTAAAAAAAATGCCAAAAAATGTCTACAGAAAGTTCAAATCATGAAAGTGTTCACACTGCAAACCACGTCCCTTTTGTACAAATTTGGTGATACGTATATGAAACGAGCAAGTTTGTGGAACAATGGTCCAACATTGCTGATGAAAGACTTTGATCCTGCAGGTACTCCTGGAGAGTAAATGGCTTTTTATTTAGAGACTGGATAAAACACAATTTGAAACTATATAAACATATGAATACATGATTTAGAAATAAGAATCCATTAAAGCTGAAAACTAGGGAAATATCTTGTATTCTTCTAATGTGCCTCTGCAGGCTATCATCACGCTATTTACATACTGGAAACATATAACTATTACACGTGTTCCTTTTATCTTGTACAAAGTACATGTGCCAATTTAGTTAACAAGTAAGCCAAGAAACTGCCATTACAGCAATTTCTTTCACTGACTCTGCAAACTGGATTTTAATCTACTGGTGAGTACTGCATATCTGATTTTTTAAATCCACAATCCAATCACAGGACCACACCAGTTTATCTAAAGTTATGGGTGCTCCATCAGTGGAGGCTTTTAAGAAGAGACTGGATAGCCATTTGTCTGCTATAGGGTTTCCTGCTTGAGCAGGTGGGTTGGACTAGAAGATCTCCAAGGTCCCTTCCAAATTTGTTATTCTGTTATTTTCTGAATACAACTAGCACAATTTGGGTAAAAAAAATTTTTTAACTCCAGATACCAGATATTATTAAGACTGAATACATGGGTGTCTGCAGGGTTGATGGGGAGAAATGACAACACCCGCTTTGACATCAGCACACACATCTGGATGTTTCCATCTGATGTTCTGACATAAAGCAATTGTCGTCGTAACCACATGTCATTACTGCTTAACTACTGACGCGGTAACGAAACCGCTTGGACACCAAACGATGTCTCCGACGTCTATTTTGTGTGAATAATCCTTCACTTGTGAAATACGACTTAAACTTAGTTGGACGTTTCTCGATTAATCTTCGGTCGTAAGACGTGTGCACGTCTTTGGGCTGACTGACTTTGTATCCCTGGGCTCTCGAATCGCTTGCTTCCTGGGAAGCATTTCTCTCTGCACCCCGCATCCCAACTTGCTTATCGCACCCCTCCCCTCCGGCAGCCTCTCGTTAGCCGGGACGCCGCCGGGCGCCTTCCCTTTGCTCACCTTTGCAGAAGCTGCGCTCCAAGTTGCGCCGGCTTCGTAGGCGGCCTTCACCGCGGCCTCCGCCTCCGCCACGCCGCAGTCCGCTACCTGGAGGAGTTCCGCGCCGGTGGCCGGGTCCCGCACGGGGAAAGTGGCTGCCGCCTGGAGCCAGCGGCCTCCCACGAAGCCTCCAGAGCGGGCCAGGGAAGCGGCCCCAGTGGCCAAGCCTGGGCCGGTACTTCTCAGCCGGCTAGGCGACGGGCTCGCCATAGTCGGCCTGGCCTGCAGCAGGAACCGGGGACTGCGGCAGGAGCGGTGGGCCAGCAACCCCCGGAAATGCGGCCGCGCAATCCTCGCCGCCATCGTCCTTCCCCTCCGTGGAAGGCGGAGCGCGGGGCGGGCGAGCGCAAAGGGCTGGTGAACGTCCCTGGGGAGCGCGGCGACCCTTTGAGCTCCTCCGCTGCATAGCAAGCGGTGGCCGCAAAGGAGTGGGCTAGGCTGCCACAAAGAGGAAGGGGTCAACTTATCTTCCAAAGCACCAGAAGGCAAGACGAGAAACAATGGATGGAAACTAATCAAGGGGAGAAGCAACCTGGAATGAAGGAGAAACTTCCTATCAGTGAGGACAATTGATCAGTGATACAGCTTGCCTTCAGGAGTTGTGGGTGCTTCATCATTGGAGCTTTTTAAGAAGAGACTGGACAGTCACTTGTCTGAAATGGTATAGGGTCTCCTGCTTGAGCAGGGGGCTGGACTAGAACAAGGCTTTTCAACCAGTGGTACGGGTACCACCTGTGGTACATTGGCACCTGGCAGGTGGTACGCGACCATTCTAGAAAAGTGGTAGTGGGGGGAGGGGAATGAGCTGAACCAGTGCAGCACCGCATGAGCCTGAGCAAGAGATGGCTGGAGCTGCAGGGCTGTCAGGACTCAGTGGAAGCACTAGGATCAGCGCCAGGCTCCAGCTGGAGCTCGGCGCTGATCCTGGCGCTTCTGCTGAGCCCAGAAGAAGCTCCGATCAGCTGGAATGTTACAGCATCTCCAGGGTCTTGTGATTTGCATTCAGATGCTTGGCAACTGATTCATATTTATGACGCTCACAGTGTCCCAGGGTCATGTGAAGTGACCAAAACCTGCTGCAACCACCCAGCAGACGGGGGGGAATAAAAACCAAACACCCCCCACCCTACCCCCGCTGCCAATCCTCAACAGAAATGCTCACAACAGGAAAAAGAGCGCTGCCAGATGGGCAGGCAGGTGTCTTGCTCGTCTGTGGCTTGGGGGGCACTTTTTCAGTGCCATTGTAACTTCGAACACTCACTAAGCGAACTGTTGTAAGTCGAGGACTACCTGTACTTTATCACTTTTTTCCTTTTTTTTTTTTTTTGGTCAAGTTTTTGACACCTTGCTAGGCGACTGGTGGTACTCGGATGTTGCCATATCCTAAAAGTGGTACAATGGGTGAAAAGGTTGAAAAGCCCTGGACTAGAAGACCTCCAAGGTCCCTTCCAGCTCTATTTTGATTCTGATTCAGGCTGGAGGAGCCACAAAAACCCAGGAGTATGCTCTCCTGGGAATAAGAGCCTCTCAACTCAGTGGGGTATACACACATTGATAGAGATAATGCCATTTACAAGGTGGTACTCAGGATGGCTTAAACTTTAAAGTCAGTGATCTGATTGTCATGAACTCTCCCTCTCGGGCTGGCAGTTACAGTCACCCTACTGTTTTATATGGGATTTAATTATGCTAAGCGGCCACGCGGCTGTAATTTAATCAACACCCATCTGTACAGGCAATTTAGGAGGAACCATTTCTGATGGTCATTGGGAATTTTGCTGGTGGAAGTGAGCCTCCAATATCTCTGCTGAGAGAAGTCTCCACTTCAGAAGAGTAATACTGATCCAGTTACTTTGGACCTGTCATTGGTTCTCAGTGCAAGACTATTAATATTAAAGGGAATCTCTGAGGGAGATGTGCAGTTAAGAAGTGTGAAATACAAACAAAACCAGCCTCCCATGCGCTATATTCAGCTGTTAGAGAAAGGACGCAAAAGGATGGGGCACAAATGCAAACATCTTTAAAAAGTACTTTTACGGCATGTGAACAGCTCATATTTTTTCCTGCCATGTGCTTTTAGAGCAGTGGTTCTCAACCTGTGGGTTGGGACCCCATTTGGGGTCGATCGACCATTTCACGGGGGTCGCCAAGCAAGGCTGTCCGCCATTTTTTTTGTCCGCCATTTTCCCCCCTTTTCCGGCGGGTGCCTTACCTCCCTTGGGCTGGGCCAGCTGGTGGTCGGTCTGCTCCGTCTCTGCCGTTTGCCAGCTACGCCTCGGCCGGCGCAGGGGGCGGAACCACGCATGCGCGGCGCTCCCGGGCAGGGAAAGTCCTCGACTTACAACCAGTTGGGTAGACCTCGACTTACGACCGGTTTAGTCCTCGACTTACGACCGGTTTAGTCCTCGACGTACGACCGGTTTAGTCCTCGACTTACAACCGGTTGGGGTCGCGGCATTAAAAAGGTTGAGAACCACTGTTTTAGAGAATGAAGCCCTCTTGATCAGGACAATCACTTAAATGCGAGCCAATAGTATGGCAGGAGCCAAAAAAGCGAATTCAATCCTAGATTGAATTAACAGAGGGATAGAATCAAGATCACGTGAAGTATTAGAATAACTTTATAAAGCCTTAATAAAACCACACTTAGAATACGGTATCCAGTTTTGGTCACCATATTATAAAAAAGATGTTGAGACTCTGGAAAGAGTGCAGAAAAGAGTAACAAAGATATTAGGGGGCTGGAGGCTAAAATTAATGAAGAATGGTTACAGGAATTGGGTATGTCTAGTCTGGTGAAAAGAAGGACGAAGCAGTGTTTCAATATTTGACAGGCTGCCACAAAGAGGGGTCAATATATTTTCCAAAGTACCAGAATGCAAGACAAGAAGCAATGCTTGAAAACTAATCAAGTAGAGAAGCAATCTGGAAAAGAAATTTCCTAACAATAAGAACAATTAATCAGTGGAATGACTTGCCTTCACCCTTGTGGGTGCTCCATCACCAGAAGCTTTTTAAATGGACAGCCACTTGTCTGGAATGGTAGGGTCTCCTGCTTGAGCAGGGGGTTGGATTAGAAGACCTCCAAGGTCCCTTCCAACTCTGTTATTCTGCTATCCTGATTGTAAACCTATGTGGTGGGAGCATAAATTATGAGCTATTTAGTCCAGAGAAAACAAACATGCAGAAATACAGATGGGAAAGATTATTAACTTGGCCATTCAAATATAGATGTGTAATAATATAGCTGTCCTTATGCATCAATGAGCTGATTAGTATACATAATGTGATTTAATAAAATAACAACAAATAGCATTTTATTTTGCTGTTAAACCTCTTAATAAATTTGCGCTTTGAAAACTGTTTCATTTGATTGAGAATGCCCTCTTAAATTCCAGAAATTAAATGTCCCCAAGATGTTTAAATGATTCATCATTATAAGTTGCCATTTTCTGTTGCCATCGGAGAATTGGATCCAGCATTTCTTTCAATGTGGCACTCATTTGCCACATTGGATCATGGATTGTGACTATGCAATGAGGAGGGGACTGGACTTAACTTCTCTCTTCTGAGTCCTCCCCATCCAAAAGACATTGGTGTGCAAATCCAGTTTATGATTCAGTGTATTGAGCAATAGATGGCTTAACCTTAGGTACATTGGTATATGAATCCACAAAGAGGAGTGATGAAAGGGTGAAGCAATTGTTCTGCCATTCTCCACATTAGTTTAAGTGGTCAGGGAGGAAGAAACAATATGGCAGGGTCCATTATATCTCTTATGCTCTTTAACATTTATACAAAGGTACTGAATGAGGACATTTTAAGAATTTGGAATTATTGTACCAATCTTTTGGTCTCAGGGTATTTAAAGCTATTTCTCTGGGTCATCACAGACTACTGAAGTGGTATCTAGATTTGGTTAATGGTTTGGATAAGGGCCAATAAACCAAAGTTTCAAATGGTCTTAGTGGCATGGATAATATTAGCCATGGTTATTTCACAACAAAAATGATCTTACTATGGTCATCCATGCTCTCATCGTTGCCACAAAGATGACTTAGAAATTCTGTGTAGAATGTTGACAGTACAATACAATTCATTCAAATAATAAAAGAATTCCAATAATAAGAACTGCACTGTTGCCTTATTTTACTTTTTCAGTCAGTTTAAGGTGCTATTTCTTTCATTTCTAGCTCTTTGGAACAACTTTGGAACCAACTTGTCGTGCCAAGCTTTGATTTAAGAACTTCCAAAATGGCATTGTTCCAAATTCCTCCCATGCAGGAAGTGTGATTTTAAAGCAAATAATTTCACTTTGGGAGAACCTCAGTTCTGGAACCTTTTCTTCCTCAAAAGATTCAGCAAGTAATGTCTACTTTATAATCTTTTCAGCCTCCAGGCATTTCAATTTATATAATCTCTCACTCTGGCTTTATCATTGTACTTGTCGCTGAAAAGTTTATTGTTCCTTTAAATCATGCTTACTGAATACTTCTTGTACCGTTATTTGTTTTTTAAACAAATTATTGTGCTTATGCACTGTGTTACCAATGGTTCTGGTATTACATGATGAAAGTTGTAGACATATTTTAAATAGGCGAAATAAGTGGGCAGAAGCAGCTGCTGATAAAAATTATATAAAACTGTGGTTTCAAATTCTACCCCACACTTGGCAGAAAAAAGCCAAGGGGTGGGGGTGGGGAGGTGGGATGGAGTGAGGGACTTCTTGGCTTGGATTCCCTCCTTCAGTATTTTCCAGACTTTTCTAGCATTTTGAAATGAGAAACGATTGCTGTTTAATATGAATTACTGCAGTTATTGCAGAACTGCATTAACAGCACTTAGTTTTTATTCCTTTATTAACCCATGAATCAAGATAGGTATAAGCTGCTATCATGCAGACCTTGTTTGTGGGCAGTTTATCTCATAGTGAGTAAAATAAGCACTGCATCATTGTATTAGTGGAAAAATGGAAGGCAGATACAGTCATTTCAACTTTGCTTTTTTTCAAAAAGATGGATATTGTTTGGTAATATTTTTTTTGATACAGATACCATATTTGGCAAGAGAGGCTTCCAGATGTTCATTTTATTATGTAAATACACAACTCCTAATTTTAAGGCAGATAAGATCTGCCTTTAAGGCAGATAAGATCTTGTATTTGTAACCTGTTATATTTGTCTTTGGCTTCTTCTTTATTTTATATGACAGAAACTCCATTAAGCAATGACTTTTAGTTGAAGCAGACGAGCTATCCAGCTGGAGATAACTCTTGATTGGCTAAATAATCAAGAATTAGAAGAGAGATTTTTTGAAGTGTTCACTTCAATAACAGTTCACCTTCTCCATTTTAGGCATGTTTTGACTCATTACCAATGAATAAGGGATTTTAGGTTTCTTTTGGTCTAATTCTTGTCTGTAAAATAAAATAATCTGTTAGCTAGTTTATAGAAATGGGGAATTGAATTTCAAGCATGAGACCTCAGTGCCATTGTCATATTTGATTTAGAAATGTAGTCTACTTTCATGTTTCAAAGGTTGCAATCTTCCTATTGAACACATCTTCAAAATTGTGGTTTATACTACAGATTATCAGTGGCATGGAAGCTTTCAGGAGTTGGTTGATTCTGGCTGTATTTTGCAATTTTTGTGAAAGAATTATACCATGTGGCCTGTCAACACACATTGAAATAGGTAAGCTATTAGTAGTAGTAGTAGATAAACAGTAGTGGTAATAATAATAATAGAATAGAGGATAAAGAATTGGAGAAAATCACAAAGTATCAAGATCTGAAAATCTAAACATGTACTATAGTCTGTGCTTTAGTTGCTTGTTTTGACTACATATTTAGAATCCTTTACAGGGGTAGTCAACCTTGGCTCTTTTATGACTTGTGGACTTCAACTCCCAGAATTCCTGAGCCAGCTGTGCTGGCTCAGGAATTCTGGGAGTTGAAGTCCACGAGTCATAAAAGAGCCAAGGTTGACTACCCCTGCTTTAGAAGAACACTGGAAAAGCAGAAGCCGTTCTGCTTTCCTAGGTTGCTGTAATAATCAACTGCTTGGTTGGCTTTTTTTTTGACACAACTCTTTGGATATCCATTATCAAAACAAGGCCATTAGTCAGCTAATATGTCTATGAGAGGTGGGGCTTTTCCTTATGCAGATATTTTGATCAGATGCTGGGAAGTTTTATTTGAAGACTTGAGTTTAGAACTAAACTTGCTGTCGAAACAGGCCTTCTTGAAAGCAGTCGATCCATGAATTGAGAGGTGCCTGCTTGGCCTCAGCCTAAACCGAGTGTCAAAACAAGCCTATCAAGCAGATGATCATCTGGGTTGTCTAATAAAACAGGAGAGCCTTTTCTCTCTTAGAGAGACCACTGCCCTGGCTTACCCACATTGAGGATTTTTGACAGCTGACTATATTCATGATTGGCAGATAGAATCCTGGTGGTTGAGGTAATTCAGGAAAAAGCAGCAAAATCAGAGACAATAGTAAATGTTTTGATTGACCTGCCTGGCACACATGAAATCAAGGTACAACCATCTGGCAACAAGCCAGAGCAGAGGTCAGAGAAGCCAGTGAGGGATCTGTAATGGGGACAGAACATTTTATGTCAGTATAATTTTTATTGACTGAAGGTCAGAGGGGATAACATTTTAACTGAACTGTGGGGAAAGACCCAGCATTTTTGGAAAGCATGCGTGAATACCTACCGTATATAAAATGTGGATATTTATTCGCTGAAAAGCTGTAGCTGATCCCTCCTTACAGTTTCTCTATCCCATTACAAATGTACATTGCTAAATGTATTGTGATCTTATTTTTTTTTTCAGCTCATAGAGCATTGGAATTTTTCAGCCAGCAAGATGGACAAGTTGACTATCGTAAGGTAGAGGGTTTAATTATTGTAACGTGAATCAGTTGGTCACATGACCTCAGGACACTGCAACCTTCTTAAATATGAGTCAGTTGCCAAGCATCCAAATTTTCTCATGTAACCATGGGGAAGCTACAATGGTCGTAAGTGTGAAAAGCAGTCATAAGTTACTTTTAAGTGCCGTTGTAATGTTGAATGGTCACTAAACAAATGGTTGTAAGTCGAGGACTACCTGTATAACAATGGAAATAGAATAAGAATTCAAAAACAACTAGGAAACACCAATAAGAAAAGGAGATGAAGAACAAGATGCTGAATGTAGCCAAGATGGAACTCAAAAGGGGCTCTAGCCACCCTAATCCAAGGCCTGGAAGAAGAGCCAGATCTTCAAGACTGTCTAGAATGTTATCAGAGTTAGAGCCACTCAGATTTCAGGATGAACTTTATTTCAGAAGATAGATACTGTAATGGAGAAAGTGTGCAGCCTGGGTCCCAAAGGTTGACATCACTTAATTGAAAGAACTGAAGCATGCCATCCCTGTTGGTTTATATCAACCAGGAAAACACCATACATAAATATGGGATAGGTTTTAATTGCGTTTTTAACTGTAGTCACTTTTTTGGGGGGGGGAGGAAAAATAAATAATACTTTAAATACTAATCTGTACAGTGTTTTACTTTTTCAGCTACTTAACTACATATGTAAGCTATTAACTACATGTGTAGGAAGCTCTTTCACTGACCAGCATAATTGTTTCCTAAAAGTTGATAGATTCCAATAAGCTTCTGATTTTATGCTTGGAAATGAAGGATAGATATTTATAGAGTGTATTGTTGTTGAATGATATGAGGAGGGATAGTAAGGGTATGTTGAGGACAGCTCTCAGAATTTTCTGTAATCATGTTGAAGGGCATCATATTGAAAAAGGTGGACATTTGGATTCAAGATAAGTTACTTTACTGCAGAATTTACTGTTAATGAGTTTTAGTCAAGGGAGATCCCTATGAAGAACAACTTTTTAATAATTTGATACTAAAGATAAATCATGTGGAGTGACTTATCTCTGTCATGCCTTCTGTAATCTTTCAGGGGAATGATTTTGATTTTGCTAAATAAACATAAAATTTACAGCATTATAATAATATCCTTTCAATACTTACATGTTTGTTTCTTTGTTCTATTGTGCAGCTAATACTAGCTCACCAAGATGCATATCAAGCAGGAAGTCTGTATCCTGATGCTTTTTATTCTGGCCTCTGCCAAAATGGTAGGAGACCCTATGTCAAATATTATTTTTTAATATGATCACATTATTGCAAAAGTAGACCAGTCCATTTATTCATGAAATTGGAAAATACATCAATAAGTGTACAATGAGAACCTGTCTTCTTTACACTCTACTGAGGCGTTCCTCTTCTTGACTAATTGTGGTTTTACTTTATGATCTTGGCTTATAAAGGTAAATCATATTTTAAATAGCCCATGTTCAGATCTAACAATAGTGCGTATCCAGTGGTGGGATTCAAATTTGTGAACAACTGGTTCTCTGTGTGGATGCCACTTCTGGAAGTCCATTCTGGGCCTGAGCAAGAAAAAATTAGCTACCGGTTCTGCCGAAGTGGTGTGACCTGGCTGAATTCCACCACTGTGCATATCATATTAAAATCAGGGCACACACAGTGAACAGATAAATTCTATTTTAAATCAAGCTTGATGTCTGGCGATTTTGTGGATATACCAATGCAGTGCAGAATTTGCTTCCCACTGTATTCTTCTGGGAATATTTTTGATCTTGGCATGGGATCCTGGACATTTTTATTATTCACATTATTGGGGTTTTATTAAATGTATTGCTGCATACCTTAAAATATTTTCATATAATATTTTGCCATTAAAATGTTACTGAACGTTACATTCTGTATGATTAAAATGCAACATGTAATCAGGCATGTCAAACTCGCGACGTCACGTGACCTCGCATGACGTATCGCAACTTTTTCCCCATTGCCGGCAATGGGGTAGGCGCGGTTTCATTGTGACGCATCTGGCCCGCGGGCCTACAGTTTGACATGCCTAATGTAGATTAAATATGAGTTGTTATGGTTTTTGAAAAAAGTAAGCCTTGTCCTCTGAATTGTCAGGATTGTTCCATTATGTTTCTGAAGATACTCACTGGTCACCTTTCCTCAACACAAGTATCCATTACATCAGAAAGAACTATCCGCAGCCATGGGAAGAGGTAATACATTTTCCATCTGTTGTTCCCTTTGAAGCCCTGAATACTCTTTTCAAAAACTGTGTTTCTCTCTCACCTTTTCACCCAAAGATAGAAAGTAAGGAAAAAAATTGACAATTCTTTTGGTGATCGATTAGGCAGCTGTTTTAATTAGCTAAAAACAGAGCTTTAGATCAAGGGTCTTCAAACTTGGCCCTTTTATGACTTGTGGACTTCAACTCCCAGAATTCCTCAGCCCGCTTTAGATTCTGCTCTCATTCTATCTGACTTCTGGTGGAAATACGTACTACTTTACTAAAAAAAAATGTAGTTGAATATGTAGCAGTCAATAAAAGCTACCCCAGGATCATTCAGATAAGGTAAACAAATAGTCTTTTGGAATTATCCTTTATTTTTCTATTGCTGATTCTCAACTAGTCAGATATACCGTAATTACAATGATCATATTTTTCTGGAAAAAAATAAAAGACAAACCTGAAAAGGGGGGGGGGGATATAAAAGAAGTTCATAAGGATAAAACATTTTAATTGTTTATATTTATAACTTTTTACAAATGCAAATTCAAGAGCAAAACTAACTCTAACCCTAAGTGGAATTTTCCCCAATGGGATTTTTCCATGTATTTTACCAGGAAAAATTGATAGTATAGGCTCGAAAAGTCAGTGCCCTCCTAAGGATATCCAAGGACTCCATGTTTGTTGGTGATATCTATTTTGGTCTCTTAGTTCACGGGGACCTAACCCTAACTGTACGTGGAATTTTCCCCAATAGGGTTTTCCCATGTATTTTACCAGGAAACCTACATTAAGCAGGCTCAAAAAGTAAGTACCCTCCTAAGCATACCCAAGCACTCCGAGTTTGTTGGCGATATGCATTTTGGTCTCCGAGTTCACGGTGACCTAACCCTAACCCTAAGTGGAATTTTCCCCAATGGGATTTTTCCATGTATTTTACCAGGAAACATAGATAATGCAGGCTTGAACAGTAAGTGCCCTCCTAAGCATACCCAGGCACTGTTAGTACACACTCCACAGTGATTTATTTATCTCTAATTTGATGGTGGATGCCTTCTAAGTCAAATAGGTCTATGGTTTCTACCTTTTCCGTTCTGTCGTTCATATTATTCTTTGGAACCCATCCTTTATATGAAGTTTGAGCATTTCATCTATTAAAACTAAACTTACCTAATTCATATTTGCAATCAATTTTCATCGCCAAATAGATTGGCTCTGAGGTGTCACATATTGTCTGTCTTTTGTCCACTTGCTTTTAATAATGTTTTTATGGAGTTACTTTTTTTTAAAAAAAATGGTACTTAGGCTACAGAGAAGCTGGTGGCTTTTCTCTTTGGGATTGTCTCACACATGGTGGCAGATGTAAGCTGGCACAGCTTAGGAATTGAACAAGGATTTCTACGGGCCATGGCAGCTGTAAGTAGTGTCCTGTTTCCGGCGTAGGGTTTTTCCATGTGCTTGTTTTAAAGTTGCATTTATTATTTTGCTTCATCCTCCCAAATGTCAATAGAATATTAAAAAAATAAATCAGATCCTTGCAGTCTGCAGTGCTTTTATGAACCACAGCTAAAAACTATATATTTTTAATGAATAATGTTTCAGTCATATCTTTGAATATCCATATGTTGCTCTTTTAAAGGATTTATATAGTTTATAGCAAAAAATGTTTGCCTATTGGATTTCTTTTTTAGCCTTTTATGGATGAAGGCTGCTCACTGCAGAGCTATTTATATGCTGGGGCTGAATTAAAGCACTTGGGCAGTTCTGAAGATAGAGATAGACAAGTAACAAGAAACATAAGGGATTTTTTGCAGTCAATTGACAACAAATTATTGGTAGGAAATTCCTATATACACAAGCAGGGAAAAAGCCACAAGGGAGTGTTTTATCTCTACAATCCGGATTAGTTTAAAAAAAGAATTTTTTTTTAAAAGCAGTTAACATTTCTTTAATTGTTAAATTGATAACGAATTATAAATAATATTGTTCCTTTTTTATTTAGATTGATTTTCATGGCTCATATTCACAAGCTCATTCTACTGGCGATTTTGGTAATTTATATACTTATAAATCCTAGAAAACTCTCCCCAAATTTCCTTTGAATGTCTCAAGGTTATGAGACTCTGGAGATGGCATTCTCTAATTTTATTTGAAAAGTATATGTGTATGTGAGTGTCATTGTTACAGTACATATATATCATAAGCATTCTCCATTTTGGTTTCCCCTGTCTCTAGAACAACTTGATATTTAATATATATCAGCTGCTGTTTTCCATTTCTGATATATTCACATTAGATACATTTTAATGGAACTATAAATTATGGATTCTATTACATTGTATTATATTATAGGTGGAACTTTATATTATCCACAAGTCTGCTTATAACCAGTGTGATTTTCTACAATTGTAGATTCCCATGATGTATCACAAGGTTTTTCTGAAGTTTCTTTGAGTTTCACGAGCCTTGTTGCCCAAGGGCTGACATTTCAAAGACTATCACTGGCATTCCAGTTGCTTTGATATTGTCCCATTATGGGTATAAAACATGTGTTGCAATGTGTAAGAGAGAGGGAAAAAACCCCCAACCCATATAGAAGGGCTACCAATCTTATAGGAAAAGCCCATGCGACCTATCCAATATTACTGCAGTGCTCACAATATATCATATGAATGGTTGTCCTGTGACGATTGTGTTAGGTTAAATCACAGGATATAAGGGATTATATTCATCATAGCACTTCAACATGAAGCTACATCTTTTGTTGTTGTTAAATAAATTGATGCCATACACTCCTTTCATTCTAATTTTAGGGGGAGATGTGTTAAGCCAATATGAACTTGATTTTGATTACTTGAAAGCAAGCTGGTAAGAGCCACAAATGCGATCGTTGATGTTTGATGCATATGGACATTGATATACACACTCACATAGTGTTGCAAATTGCAGAGGGAGGATGAGAAACAGTTACTGAAATCTATTATTTTTTCTTCTCAGCTAGTCAGGTCCTCAAGAACCATTGTGAATTAGACTCTAATGTTGTACTGGATGAAGGAGATCGAGGGTAACTTGTTTAGTTCGGTAGAGGCCTACAACCTTATATAATGGTAGATGGATCATACTAGCATCTAAGTAAGAGGGTTCACTTAATATAACCCTCATTTCTGGTAATGGTGTCCATACTTCAATTACATTCTGCCCTGATTACTTCAATGCACTCTGTATAGGATTATCTTTACAATGATACAATTGGTACAGATTGTGGCAACAAGGCTATTAACCATTGTCGGGTACACAAAGAACATCTGAAACTTGCATTTCTGAGAATTCTTACACCATTTGCCAATTGCTTATTTCAGTTCAGTTTTACTTTTACTAATCTTTGAAGCCATAATCGTAGGTTGTTGAATGTTTCTATTTTAAAAAAATGGAGAGCAGGGGAAGAATTTGAACGGTTTAAGATCAGTAAATCATACTGTATTTACATCCAAGAAAATAAAGCCAATAAATTGGGCAGAGTGATGTGCAGTTTAAGTGTCTAGTTTAACTCTGAGTGTTGCATTATAGAGCAGAGTATTGCCTGTATTAGTTCTTTTTCATTTATATTTTTTTATTAGATTTCTATTCAACCTTTCCTCCTTGAGCTTAAATTCCTAGTCCTGGAGAAGTCAAGAATTTAGTCTGAGATTTTTGGAATACAAAACCTGTGCTGTACAGCGGTGTTTCTCAACCTTGGCCACTTGAAGAGGTGGGGACTTCAACTCCCAGAATTCTCTAACCAGTTTGCTGGCTGGAGAATACTGGGAGTTGAAGTCCACACTTCTTCACATGGCCACAGTTGAGAAACACCGTTCTACAGTATATCTAAGCTGCATCATTTTACCAGTTACATATTACTGACATATTGTTTGATTAGTGTTTGATTTATATAATATTACCAATATTTATCAAGGAATCTAGAAAAGGAGAGAAATAATGTGTTTAGATAATTTAAAATGCCATTTTTACCAGTGCATTTTTGTTGGCTTCAATCAAAGTTCTGATATTAATACTTTTAGGTATGTACCTGTTAAAGATTTACTGTCAATCTATCAGGATTATTATGGAAAGGAGGTGATAACTCAAAATACAATTGTTGACTGCACGTATATGCAACTCCTTGATCTGTAAGTCAGAGTAACAGTTAACACATTTTAAAACAAATGAGAGTTTGTTAATTACTGATGGGTTTTCAAGCAGGGGTTGAAGAAACACTGGTAAATGGTAAAAGTTGGAGAAGATCAGGTATAAAAAATGGGAAATCTTACCATGGGGATATTTTTATATTTTGAGAGCGGGTCTTCAGTAAGATAGATGGACTAGTAGGATGATAAATAGTTTGGTAATTTTATCTGATAAAATACATCTAAGAACTTAAATAAACTATGAAAGATGTACAGGAGTTTTTGATTTATGACCACAATTGGGACTGAAATTTTGGTTGCTAAACTATGTGGTCATTAAGTGAGTCATCACATGACCAGTCTCTATTTTATGACCATTTTTACTGCAGTTGTTAAGCGAATCATGCAGTTATTAAGTCAATCATGCAGTCAATCAAATCCAACCATAAACTTTGCTTGTTGGAAGCCAGCTGGTTGCAAATCACGATCACATGAACTTGGGACACGGCAACCATTGTAAATGCGAGCTGGTTGGCAAGCACCCAAATTGTGATCATGTGACCTTGAGAGTGGACCAAAGTCATAACTTTGAGGACTGTCGTTGGTTATTTTTTTTTTCAGCATCATTATATTTTCAAACTGTCATTAAATGAATGGCCGTAAGTTGGGGATTATTGGTAGTGAAATAAAATATATACACATAAGGAAAAGTGGCTAGAACAAAGGGGGAGTGTCTTCCCCAGAGAAATTCACTGATCTGTCTCAATAGACATGGAAACCCTAATCTTTTCAGTTTATAGTTTGATTTTTTTGTTTCATTTTAAGAACATACATTGTCTTAGGATAATGGCTATTGTATCTTTTCATTATCTCTTTCCTGGCCTACTTATTAAGGTGTTTTATTGCTTTTATTGTTTCAGTATTTTTGCTGGTTGTTTAATCTTTAAAATAATGTCATAACCAGGCAACTGTGATTATTGGTCGTAGTCGAAAGCAAACAATATACATACAATATATATTGTATATGATAGCCACTGTACAGAAAATGCCTTTAAAGTTGCCAACTGTATATTGATCCTGTTAAATAGGGTGGACTATGTTTATATAAATATCTTCATTTTAAGAGGGAGTCCACAGTATGAGTTTGAAATCAAATGTCAGCGAGATGAGGAAATATTTCAACATTTCTAGGTCTGTCAGCAATCATTGCTTCCCTAGTAAACATTTATAATGCACTAGCTTCAATAAACTATAATGAATATTTACGATAGCTTTTTTGGTATATAGGTATAATGCTAAATTGTGGGTAATCAGAACGAAGGAAGGAAAAGAGGGAGAAGAAAGCGGGCAGGAAAAAATAAGAGTATGACACTCGTAATTTATCTCATAATGACCTGTACTTCATTCAGAACACTTTAATAGGAATTGGCTCATTATGTTCCTAATAAAAAACATTACTAGCAGTCATTTAAATAATATATAAATGTTATGAGTTTCAAAATACCCATTGTGTCTTTTTGGTATAGTTAAAGGCAATATACAAAACTTGGTCTTCAAGAAGCATTTTTTTCGGCATTGAAAAGTTCTATAATGATAGTAAATTATAAATAATTGCTTCCATAGCTATGGCGAGATCATCGCTATTGCCAACGTAAGTATATTTTTCTAAAAAAGAAATTTGTTGGATGTGAATGTTGAAATAGTCAACTTACTAATTAAATTGCATCTTATTCTTCACAGCTTTATCCCATATATGCCAATAAATCCCCATTTTTAGTGGACAAGTTCTATGACTATTTCCTTGGCGGAGTGGATGATATGGCATTTTCATCGAATAATATTTTACAGTTAACCAGTTGGATGTTAAACTATGGGACTAGGTGAGGTATTTGTTAATAATTCCAAATGATCATCCTGAAAAAAAACATATTGTTTAAAAAAAAAAAGAAATTCTACCTGGAAAAATGCATTTTTCTTCAAAAGCTTGATTCAACCAAACTGTGATTCAGAATGTGGACAGAATAGAATGTGTATTTCATTGCTCCTTGTTAGGATTTATCTTTAATTTTAACTTGTAGAGTATTATTAATAAGCTAAAAATACAGATCTTACTTTAGCTTTCCCTTGCTTTACAGATCTGTGAAGGTCATAAATGCATGGATTGGTTGTAAAGCTATTTCATCATCACTGTTGTAACTGAATGGTCACTAAACAAAACAGTCACTAAATGAGGACTATCTGTAGGGGAAGTTGTGGGCATGCTAAAAAATGAAACATATTAAATACAATTAATCTATTAATGTTTTCTTCAGTGGCTGCTTTATTCCTGAGAATCCTTTGTTTATACGGTGTGAAGATGAACAGAGAAACTTTTCTGTGTGAGTATATTAATTAGTCTAATTTAACTAGTGGTATGAATTAACTCCAAGATTTATATTATTTTTTAATGTGGGAAATTAAGACCACATAGCTTCATTTTCTGGCCATGACTTGGCAACAAAGAGAAATACCCATAGCTATGCAAAACCCAATAATACTTCTTTGTTAATTTTTGGAACTACTTTCAAAACATCACTATTGCAATGCAGTTGTTCTTTAGGGATATGTGATACATTTATGCCAATCCTGGTTTCATGGTTTCATTTCAAATTATTGTATTTTTCTGCCTTTAAACAAGATGTATTTAAGGCAATCTTGGAAATGCACAGCAGAAAATAGATGCTGCTGAGATATTATTTTATTTATGCAATTTATCCTCATCAGCTTCAATTTCTTTTTCTTTTATTTTTATTTTATTAAAAAAAAAATATGGCTGCCCATTCACTCCAAGTGGTTTAAATAAAGGGCTGGTATAAACTTTATAATCAAGAACTGTCATTTTAAAAAACATTAAAATACTAAAGTCCCCGGTATGAAGAACTGCAGAGACAACAAGGGAATGAGTATTTAAATTAAATACAAACTTGATTCAGCATTATTTAAGAGCAATCACAGTCTCAATTCAGAAAAACAGGAAACCCTTTTATTATTTTGTAACTAAAATATTTGAATTGTTTATTCATTCATATATTTTTGCTGTCTGCAATGTGAATTTAGCCAGCCCCATACTTATCTCGTTTTTATCTTCCTATACAGAAACCTTCTACTTATTGTATCTTATTTCAATAGATTTAAAGAATCCAGAACTCAGTACCACAGGAAGATAAGTTCTGAAGTGGCCAAATCAGTTGAAAAGAATATCAGTTATACAGAAAGAGGAGTTTATTTAAAAGTTCCCCTTTGGACAATGGTAATTTCTTTTGGGTCTAAACATAAATCGCAGGAACCAAATACATGATTGCAATTTAGACATTAATTGCTGGAGATCTGCAGGATTGGACATCTTTTGTTTGTTTAATTCTTTAAATATGATTCTTTAAATAATACCCTAGCTCAGTGGTATGTACAAGGGAGGTCAAAAAAGGCACAGTGGTGGTTGCAGCAGAATGATCAAACCCTTCCACATTTGCATATATGTGTGGCATTGGCATACATGCAGAATGGCCTGGACATTAACTTTGATGTAAGTTTTATTTCTTTGTAAATGTAGAATTTGTTCTGACTCTAAAATTGCAGCTTTGAGTGTAGTTAATAATAATAATAATAAAGTTGGAAGGGACCTTGGAGGTCATCTAGTCCAATCCCCTGCTCAGGCAGGAAACCCTATACCATTTCAGACAAATGGCTGTCCAGTCTCTTCTTAAACACTTCCAGTGTTGGAGCATTCACCACTTCTGGAAGCAGGTTGTTCCACTGGTTAATTGTTCTAACTGTCAGGAAGTTTCTCCTTAGTTCTAGGTTGCTTCTCTCCTTGATTAGTTTCCATCCGTTGCTTCAAGATTTGCTGGATGGATTCAGAAGAGGGAGAGAAATGAAAGTTGATGATGGGGAAAAGAGAATTGGGCCATGCAGAAAGTGAAGTAGTTTGTCCTTGCTGAGAAAATTGGCAGCTTTGTGTAATCTTCACCAGTTTTTGAGTTGTTCCCCAGGCTTTTCTCAGCAACTCTGTTGGCTACAAAATGAAACTGAGAATCTGAGGAGGTCTAAGAATTAGTAGATTAGAGCCACATTTTCTTCCATTAATAGGAGTATACTCTAAGCCAGTGATGGCAAACCTTTTAGAGACTGAGTGCCCGAACTGCAACCCAAAACCCACTTATGCATCGTCGGGTGCTGGGTGGGTGTAGCCCATTAGGTGGGCGTGGCTGCGGTGGTAACAGCAGACTGGGTGGGACTAAAAAGTTCAATCAATTCCAACTTTGCAAGATCTTTTTTTTTCCTGCGAGAAGTTGAAATTGACTAATTGATTGAACCTTTTTTTTTTGTACATGGTGGCAGAGGCCTAAAGCAAAAAGGTTTTATAAAACCCAGCTGAAGACCTAGGACTGGGGCGCCGGCACACGTGCCCACAGAGAAGGCTCTGAGTGCCGCCTCTGGCACCCGTGCCATAGGTTCGCCACCACTGCTCTAAGCAGTGTTTTACTCAAGGATGGACTACTTGGTGTTTCTTGAGGATAGGAATGTACATGTTCCTCAGCCTGTCCGGACCCACTGTGAAGGCAGACTCTGCCTGTAATTTGTTGCTCCAGTACAAATGTGATAATTTTCCATTGCTGCTCAGACAAGCTAAGTGAAAAGTCAGTGAATAGTTTAGCCATGTGTGGGTGTAGGGATGTAGGGAAGCAAGTCTTTCTGGTGCTGGGAAAATTGGCACCAAAAAGGCCCACTTCACTTCTTCTCTTTTTTTCATTTTTCTTACCCTCATTGTATATCAGACTAAGTATTGTAGCAATATCTACAACACGAATGAGCACTGTGCTGGTATTTAATTGACAAAATGGACAGGAGATTTTTTTTTTAATTTCTTCCTGGAAAACTTCTCTAGTTAGCAAACAATTCAAGAAACCAGTGCCATGTGTTGATTGATATCTTTTATATAATGAAACAAACACAAATGCATCATTAGCTGTGCCAATGTCATGCCAGGCTTCTTGGCTGCAATAATGTCTCTACAAAACGAGAAATGGACATTTACATCTAATATAAATTGCTACTCCAGCATCCAGTAAATGGTTACGCTGCTTATTGGTCACATCTTATTTCCCAGAATTATCTTCAGTTCCAAAATAGTGACACAACAAAGAGTTCGATGGCAGTCCCACAGCAACACTCATCTAAATACATCACCAAGCCCAGTGCTTCATATTTTCTGAAAACTCCATATGCAAAACTTGGATCGTGAGTACTGATTTATACATTTGTTTCTGCTATCTTTATAATAGATAATTGCTTCACTGGTTTAGAAATAACTTTGCCAGAATGTCAGTGAATGAATATCTATGGAGATTTTCAATCTTTTTTTTTTCTTTCTCAAAAGACCGCTGGACTTTGTTGCCTTTTTCCTTTTCCCTTTCGCTTCTCATCCAAGAAGCTTCTTCAGTTCTAGCTAACTGGGTGGGGAATGGAAAGATTTATATTATTTGCAGCCAGCTGGCTATTACCATACTGAGAGTCGTTGAGGCCATTTGGGGGTTATCTGTATCCCTCAGATACCCAATGGGTATGGAACCTTCTTGGGACTGCTGAAAGGACTGTGTTGTAAATAGGAGATAAGTGGTGTCATACCCTTCCTCCTGTGTTGAGGGAGGGCTGTTCAGTTTTAATATAGATAGCGTCTTTGACTCCTCTTTCAAACCAGTGGTCTTCTGTATCCAGAATGTGAATGTTGCTGTCTTCAGAAGAATGACCCTTGTCTTTCAGATGCAGATGAATCTTGTCCTAATGAGTTTGTTGTGCCATGCATTTTTGAAATGGTTTAGTTTCCCCTAAGGTAGAATAATGAACAAATACTAGAATAGTGCTGTGTCAGTAGTATGTGACTAACCTAATGCGCATTGCGCCTGGATACAATGTATGTAGCAAACCCTCCATTGTATACCCATGAGAAATGAACCTAATGTATTACAATGTGTATTTCAATGTGTATTCCTTTGTTCCTGAGAAAAGGAAAGTATAAAACTGAAGTTTGAACCCGCCCTCGGGGTTCAGAATTGCTTGTTGCTATTGCTTCTGAACCTGCGCAATAAACCTCTTTGCTAAAACCCTCTGGAATTCGTAAGAGTCCTTTCATTTTCCACAAGACCCCAGTGGTAGAGGCCTACACATTTCTCACTGCATTGCATTGGACATACCACATTGCTCTATTTGTCTCTTGGTGTTTTGTCCTCAGGGTGGGCAAACTTATGTCTTAATGTACTCCTGGGTTTAAAATGTGCATTTATGTTGTGTTTGTTGAAAATCCTTCTAAGCTTTTCTGATATTCCTGCAGTGTATAGAATGACAACGTTGCTCCATTTGTTGTTCTCTTCTTTTCTATCTGTTGTGAAGATGCTCCTACTGGATCTTTTTGTGGATTTGATGAAGGCTCAGTTAGGGTAGCTACAAGTTCTGAGGGTTTCCTTGATGAGTTTGTTCCATTTCCCCCCTCCCCAAAAGTAACATTAAAAAAAAAAGCAAATTGAAAATGAGATAGATCTGGCAATGTAATAGGCTGTTAGGCAACTACCAAGAATGGTGTCTGCAAGTCTGTTGGCATTTCTGGGTGCTAAGTTGGGTCTCCTGATTTTTCTTCAAGATTTCTATGGAATTACATCTGTCACTAGAAACTATCCAATTTTTTTTTGAAATCTGCACAGGAAATGTCATACAAATGGACATTGGCACCATCTTCTTTCATATGCAGGGCTATGACTTCAGCTGACCTAAATCAGGATGGATACGATGACCTGGTGGTTGGGGCACCAGGTTACAGCCTGCTTGGACACATTCAGTTGGGACGTGTCTATATTGTTTATGGCAATGAATCAGGTTTGCCTCATTCCAACCTGGACCTTGATCAAGAAGCAGATGAAATACTAGAAGGCACTAAGGTAACAAAACAAGTCAAACATGGATAATTAAATATGTTTTGTTTTTATTTTTGGATTACTAGTTCCGTTATTATTTTCCCTACTGTAATTGCATTAATGACACGTCTTTTGTAACTAACTGAAATTAGACTACTGTAAGCCTTTCCTTCTAGATGTGTAGAAACTATAACAACCAGAATTTCCAGCCACTGTGACCTCTGTATGCTCCAAGTCATTTATAGGGCATAAGGTTGAGGAAGGCTATAGGTTAATTGCTACCAAAATCAAATAATTGGGAGACCTAAGTTAGGTTCACAACTGATACTACATTTGGTCATTGTTTTTGTCCTTTACATGGCTTATTCAGGCAGCATTTATAATTTATAAACTATTTCATAGAAATAAAATGAACAGAATAACTAAATGTATAGAAGTGCTAGGAACATACTCATAAGGATTGAGAGTTTAAATAAATTCTATATAGATGGCAAAGAAACAAGATGTTGTTCTCTTGGTAACTGTGAATAGAGTTCACTGGTGATTTAAATTAAATTTGTAGTTATGAATACAAGAACTTATATTTAAAGAAACAAAATTTAACAGAGTTTAGTGCAGCATCAACCAAATCCATTTTAGCTCTTAAATGCTTCCTACTTAATGAGTCAAAGAATAATTTGCCATAATGTGTTACTATTGAAAAAATAACAATGTCCAATATATATATTATCTAAATGTGTCTTCTTTTTAAAATAGCTTTGGCTTCATGAAATGTATTTGACTATGTGCGTGCACATAAATGCCTGTATATCTATGCAATGAATATGTCTATCTTCTATCTAGCCTTCAGGAAGATTTGGTTCTGCCATAGCAATTTTGGACTTCAATGTGGATGGAATATTGGATCTTGCAATAGGAGCCCCATCAGTAGGATCCCGAGAGCTTAGTTACACGGTAGGCAACTGTAAAATGCTAACATAAAATATAGTTAGTCTGGTGCAATTGGCCTAGAAAGGAGGAGACTGTGAATTTCAGGCTTCCCTTAGGCATGAAAGCCAGTTGGGTGATCTTGAATCAGTTGCTTTCTTTCAATCCAACCCACCCCTCAAAGTTTTATTGTGAGGAAATGGGAGGAGGGAGCATTTAGTAGGCTGCTTTTGTATAAATAAAGGTGGGTTATAAAAATAATAATAGTAACCTTGCTAATTAGGCTGCATTTAATGTAGGCTTATATTTTGATTGTCTGAAATAAATAATAATAATGGGAACAATTTATTGGCCATCTTAGAATTCATCTACATATAGTCCTCACTTAGCAGCTGCCTTGTTTAGTGACCATTTACAATTACAATGGTGAAGAAGAAGAAACTTTGTGACCAATCTTTGCATTTGAATAGCATAGCTGCCCAGAATCTCTTTGTGGTGAGATGGGCAGCAAATAAATGTAATGAGTAAATAATAAATAAATTTCTAACTTTTGTGGGACTGTAAGCAAAGGAAAGTTGAAATAAGATTGTAAGTAGTTGCGGTTTCTCTTAGTGACTGCTTCACTTAACAATCAAATTGCTGGTCCCAATTATGGTTACTGAATGAGGGTTACCTGTATTTTATATTGACCCATGTCTTACAGATGAATTGATTAGATTAATCTGGATTACAAAGGTTTGAGTGGTTTTTGTAGTCCAATCCTTTCATGTGGTTTGCTGCATTTTTGACATTGTATCATATTTTAACTCACCTAATTATGAGAAATGCAGTTTAATGTGAAGATGAAAAGAATAAAGAATAAAAGAATCTATTACAATGTTATATTTTTTTATTTAGGGTTCTGTATACATATTTCTTGGCAACAGAGGAGGAGGTTTCCACAGCCTTCCAAATATTACAATAATTTGTCAAGTAAGTTTGCTGATGAAAAGGCAAAGCATGGAATCCAGATTTAATCCACTTTTGTTTTTTGCTCAGTCACAAGGATCTTGAAAATTAATTTCCCGGATATTCAGTACAATTTTTACTCGGGATGAAAGCACCATTCTTATGTGTCCTTCCTTCACACACAATCAAAGTACGTGTGTAGGGCACATTCTTCTTAAAGGATACATTTAAAACATATATTCAACCATTCAGAAAATGGACAGTGCTAATAAAGAGCGGAGCTTTTGGGATTCTTTTGATAATTAAAGGTAAACTATCGCTCTAATGCAGGGCTTTTCAACCAGTGGTACGGGTACCACCTGTGGTACATTGGCACCTGGCAGGTGGTACGCAACCATCCTAGAAAAGTGGTAGTGGGGGAGGGGAATGGGCTGAATTGGTGGCAGCACCGCATAAGCCTGAGCGAGAGATGGCTGGAGCTGCAGGGCTGTCAGGGCTCAGCGGAAGCGCCAGGATCAGTGCCGCTTTCCAGCTGATCAGCGCTTCTTCGGGGCTGTCAGGGCTCAGCGGAAGTGCCAGAATCAGTGTCAGGCTCCAGGTGGAGCTCGGCGCTGATCCTGGCGCTTTTGCTGAGCCCAGAAGAAGCACCGATCAGCTGGAATGTTGTAGCCTCTCCAGGGTCTTGTGATTTACATTCAGATGCTTGGCAACTGATTCATATTTATGACGGTCATAGTGTCCCAGGGTCATGTGAAGCGACCAAAACCTGCTGCAACTACCCAGCAGACGGGGGGGGGGGAATAAAAACCAAACACCACCCCACCCCACCCCCGCTGCCAATCCTCAACAGAAACGCTCACAACAATGAAAACCTCGGACAGGAGGAAGAGTGCGGCCAGGGGGGTAGGCAGGTGTCTCGCTCGGCTGTGGCTTGGGGGGCACTTTTTTCGGTGCCATTGTAACTTCGAACAGTCACCAAGTAAACTGTTGTAAGTCAAGGACTATCTGTACTTTATCACTTTTTTCCTTTTTTTTTTTTTGGTCATCAAGTTTTTGACACCTTGCTAGGCAACTGGTGATACTCAGATGTTGCCCTATCCTAAAAGTAGTACAATGGGTGAAAAGGTTGAAAAGCCCTGCTCTAATGTGTCTGGTAGTTACGCTTCAATATTCAGTAATATTACCTATTCTATAAATAAATTTTACTGAAGATGCTGTATTTCAGCAACTGAGTTGTATATTCTTTTATGTGGGAACCAAATTATTGACAATAGGAGTTGTGGGTGCTTCATCGCCGGAGGTTTTTAAGAAGAGATTGGGCAACCAGTTGTCTGAAAAGATATAGGGTCTCCTGCTTGAGGAGGGGGTTGGACTACAAGGGGCCCTTCCAACTCTGTTATTCTGTTACTTTTGCAGGAAATATATTGTAATCTAGGCTGGTCCCTGCTGACAGCTGATGTTGACAGGAATGGAAATAATGACCTTGTGCTTGGTTCCCCATATGCACCTGCTGGTGGAATACAAAGAGGATTTGTGGCTTCTTTTTATTCTTCCTCTTACAGAAGTGGGCAAAGTAAGCTTGTTTGAAAAATGTTTTTGTTTCCTAAAGTATCCTATATTGGTACTTTCAAATTCTTGCTGAAACATTGTCAGAATAATATATCTGGATCCTTCTTCAATGATTCCTTCTTCAATGATTCCTAGGCAACATATTTAATGTTAGTTCACATATTAAACATATAACTTGGTTAATTAATTTTGTATTAATTTACCCAAATCCAGGTTGAATTAATGCAAGAGATTCATATACCATCCCATAGTTTTCCATACAGAGTGTACTGGATTCCTTCCTGAAGCAGTTGCCTTCATGGCTTAAAATAGTATTTCTCAGCCTTGGCAATTTTAAGATGTGTGGGCTTCAACTCCCAGAAATTCTGGAAGTCCACACCATTCTAAAGCTGAAAGGATGAGAAACTCTGGCTTAGAAAAAGATATTGAGATTCTTTAAAATCTTAAGTCTCTCCCCAAACCGAGCATTATTTACATTCAAATCTTAGCCACCCAGCCCATTATAGGAGCACTTCAAAATAGATGCATGCATGCACACACACACACACATACAGAGAGAGAGAGAGAGAGAGAGAGAAATGGGATATTTGTTTATATAAGCAACACAGAGATGTGCTGGGTTGAACCCTGATATTTACAAGGGGGTTTGTAGATCCTCCATCCACAATCACCTCCTCCTATCTCAAATTTCAGGATACAGGTAGTCCTCAACCTACAGCTGTTTAGTGACCGTTCGAATTTACAATGACACTGAAAAAAAGTGACTTATCACTGTTTTTCATAGGACCATGGTAGCATCGTCATGGTCACATGATCAAAGTTCAGATGCTTGGCAACTGATTAATATTTATGACAGTTGCAGAGTTCCGGGTTCATTAACTTTTGTGACCTTCTGACAAGCAAAATCAATGGGGAAGCCAGATTCACTTAACAACCGTGTCACTAACTTAACAACTGCAGTGATCCACTTAACAACGGTGACAAGAAAGGTGGTAAAATGGGGCAAAACTCACTGAACAAATGTCTCGTTAGCAACAGAAATTTTGGGGTCGATTGTGATCGTAAGTCGAGGACTACCTGTATTCATTCTGGCGGGAAATTCTCCTATCTGTATATTTATCTATATGTATTTAAAGTAATGGTTCGTGCTACACAGAAAGATTGAACAAAGCAAGGCTTCTTGTATGTAATCTGTTTCAAAAACAGAACTTTCGGATCAGCACTAGTTTTCTCCTTATTTCTCAGGCCTGCTATTTGTATCAGATGCTGACTGGATGGTAAAAGGAGAAACAAATTATGCTTGGTTTGGCTCATCACTCAGCAGTATCCAGCTCCCAAATAAAATCTTGCTGCTTATTGGAAGTCCTTTTGGGAGAAATTGTACAAGGTGTATGCATTTATTTTTAAGTACCTACAGTATGTATGTGATTGTCTTCTAGGCTATCTTCACAACCTATCTTCTGTGCTTTCTCACTACAAATATATGCAGCAGATCCACATTTTCTCTAAATGTTGATCTGTTACATACAAACAGACTAATGCTCTAATAATAGACATTTTTTCAAGTATGACCTTGTTTTCTGCAGCTGAATCAGAGATATAATTCAAGGCCCCAGGGTTATATGCCTTAGCTACAATTCTTAGAAATTTCAAAAGATGACCTCAAATTATAACTTAATGTTATAATTAGAAGGGGAACATTATTAAAAGCATGATTGGAAAATAATCATATTTCAATTAAATATAAACATATATAAAATAAAACCAGTGTCAATTTTACTCTGGCTCTGCCCATGACTTTTAGGATTGTTTCCCTGGTATTTCCCCATTCAAAGGCTACGTAGACCCCTTGGAAGAGAAAAATGGTCCACCTTTGATTTAAAGCAAGACTAGCCACACAAAGCTTGAAGCTGTGTCTATCCTAACTAGGTTTTACAACTGATTGTATTGTAGAGCGCATATAGTCCTGCATTAACAGGTATATATTAAGAGCTGTGGTGGTGCAGTGGTTAGTATGCAGTATTGCAGGCTGATTCTACTCACTGCTGGCAGTTCGATCCTGACTGGCTCAAGGTTGACTCAGCTTTCCGTCCTTCTGAAGTCAGTAAAATAGGGACACAGATTGTTGGGGACAATATGCTGACCCTGTAAACTGCTTAAAGAGTGCTGTAAAGCACTACAAAGTGGTATATAAGTGCTATTGCTATTGCTATATAATCAGATGCCCACAGTTCTAAATACTGGATATATAATCCATTCATCTGGTTCAAAGTATTTTTTCTGTTAAAGTTGTTCAGTAACTATTTTTCTCCTAAAATAAAATGTTTATCATTTTAAAAGTATTTGCAACTCATTCGGGATCAAGGCCATGAGTCATTTCCTTGTTACAAGTAGAGCCCAAGCCTAAGTATTTTATTTATTTGAAAGTGAGTTTGCTTTATTTGTCTGTCAAATTTATAACCTGTCTTTGTGAGGAGTACAAGTTAAAAACCATACAATAAAACAGATAAAAGAAGGCAGTCACTTGGGGGCAAAGGTAACCAACACATTAATGCAACCCTGTCACAAGGTGCATACTCTCTTAACAGAAAACAGGGTTTATCAAACTTGGCAGCTTTCAGATGTGTGTATTTCAATATACTGGGGAGCTGGCTGGGGAATTCTGGAGTTCACACATCTGAAAGATGCTAAGGTTGAGAAACACTCAAAGATTGAAAATACTTGAAACAAGTCAGATCTTTAAAGCTTGTTTAAAGGACAGAAGGATTGGGGCTCTTCAAATCTCTAGGCAAGAGAAAACATTACTACAGAAGCAGGCACTGCAACAGACAAGGAATGTCTATTAGGTCTCTGTTTTAGGTTGATGACACTGTTTTAAAGATTGAAACTGCAGCATATCCACTCTGTCAACGGGATAGAGGTAGTTCTTGATGGCTAGACTTCATGCCATGAAAGATTTTATAAGTCACAGCCAACACTTTCAATTACACCTGGACGTTTACTGATAAACACTACAGAGGTAATTCAAACAATGAAGGTGTTATGTGGGAATAGTGAGATACATTCATAACTGTCTTCATTGCTGCATTCTAGATCAGCTACAGCTTCCAAGTGATTTTCAAAGGTAGAGCCATGTAGACCATGTTCCAGCACTCCATCTGTGAGATACTAAGACATGAGTAACTATAATGAGTTCCCAGTCCAGAAAAGGGTGCAATTGGTATTCTGGACAAAACTTCTCCAGAGAGTTATAAATCCATTTATAAATCTATCTGCCTTTGGAAGAAGTAGATATTTAAAAGTGGCACCTCAAGCAAGGTTTTACTCGTTATTAGACCTCCTATTACCCTTAACATCAGATATATAAACCCCTAGTGTTCAGTATAATTGGACTGTTCAACTCTACTTATCGTCTTATGAGGTTTTTAACTCTAAGACTTTACTTTGACTATAACTACCACTACTAAGATGTCATACAGAACGTTAATGATAAAAAAATCATAACAAGTCACAAATAGTTAATTGGTCTGTGTTGTTGTTTTTTTACTATAACCATTTTGTATTCTAGCCTAGGGTGTCATTTATCCGAAAACAACAGGCAAGCTGTTGGAATGGTATATGGCTATATCCCACCAAATACCCAAACCTGGTTCACTTTAAGTGGGGATGATGTAAGTCTTTGTGGTGCCCTTTGAAATAATATAAAAAACAAGAATGAGAAATTTTTTGATTTCATGAGACTAACTATATATATGTATATGTGCTCATATTATACCCATGCAGGAAAATGGGAAATTTGGTTCAGCTTTGGCAACCGGTTTCCTTTCCATAGAAGGACTCTCCAAGCAAGTACTGATAGTTGGTGCACCGACACAAGGTATGCAACTTGGAACAAGACTTGGCAGCATTTTTATTTCAGTAATGCATTATGACAGAGGATAAAGAAATTCCAATAGGCAAAGAATCATGATACAGAATCTAAATTTACTTATATAGAAAGTTCATTAAAATCCATTCAACTTAATATACATGCATTGTTTATATACAATGATGCAGACCTGTTGTGATGTATGTTGCTTTTATGTTGAGAAATTGAGGCTGTAATATTTTGTCATTTTTGGTTCCCAGACCCATTGGTTCATTTGAGTCCTTAGCCCTATACAACTTTACATAATATTGCACAGATAATTGTATTAGATTTCTTAGGGGATCTATTTTGGATTGTTTAGGTCTTTTATATCAGGAAGTAGATCTTGATGTTCAGACGTGATTTCAGGTACCTCCAGAAAAATAAAAATAAAAGTTGGGGAATATCGGTTGTCTACTTCTGATGGAACATGAAGATGCTTTCTAGCTGAATCAACTCCTCATGACTGCATTCATGCAAATCTGTTGGAAGTATTATTAAATAGTTCTTCTGGGATGTTTTTCAATTCCTCAGTCTGGCAATTTCAAGTTTCGCTGTAAATGAAAATGTTGATCACAATGGCATTACTATTGGAAAATGAAAATATCTCAATTTTAATCTGTAAAGGATTCCAAATCAAAGATCAAAACACTCTGAAATACTTCCCAATGTTTATTGCAGAAGATGAATGGGACCATATGCAGCAATATACTCAATACAGGGGTTTCCCACTGTGTTAGACTTATACTCTTTTATTGCTGATTTCATTCCTTCCCTTTAACTAGTACTTTTGCATTTTACTACATGTGTCCTGTTTTACTATAGGTGAAGATCTAAACTGAGCCATGCTTAATATTAGAGCAATAGTCCAGCATCTTGCATCTCTGTTCTCCAATATTCTGTTCATTTCAACTTTTTGAATTTTGTGGCTTGGAAATATGCAACCATTTAGTGCAACCTCTAGCTGAAAGAATATCTCCTGGCTGAAATTACAATATAGTTTTCATTAAGACTGGGAGCTCTGCACATGATTATTCTAAAAGCAGGTCTTTGTTGATAAACTACTTGATTATTACTTCAAATAGATTCAGTAGAGCCAGTGTTTTCTGCATTTAAATGTGGATTCGTAACTCAACAATGCTTTCTTGACATTTTTTATAGCAACCATAATTTTGTCACCTTGATTGGTTTTCTTCAGACAGTGTCTTCAGGATTTCATTTATATCCTCTACACTACACCAAGCAGGAAGTGTTTTGATATATGACTTGATGGAAAATGGCAAGCCTTCTATACTTAGCACATTCAATGGAGATAGGAGATTTTCACGCTTTGGAGAAGAGGTGCACTTACGGGATCTGAACAACGATGGACTTGGTATAGTTAAAAATTTTTATTGTGAAACATCAAAAAAAATTGCATAGTAAATTCTACTGAGGGTGAATTCATCATTCCACCATCCTCTTTTTCTTCCGGGGAAGTAAACTCTTCCAGCAGCAATTTGAGGATTGTCCTCCTGTGTCACTGCAGGAGAACTAAAACAGTAAATCCAAAGATAAATCCCTGTTTCCAAACTTGCATCCTAAGATCACAACTGAGAGCTTGGTTGCATCCTGGAATAGGTGGATGATTGAGGCTGGACTAGATTGCTCCTTTGAGACCTCTGTGTGCACTGATCCTAGGGTATACCTTAGTTTTCTGATGAGCCCCAGAGATGAAGCGCTAGAAGTGACGCTTCTGTTTCTGCAGAAAGTCTAAAGAGTGAATCTGACTGAACACGAATATTTTTTCCATATTTGGTGATAAGAGCAGTGAAGCATTTCTAGTTTTCTGCCCTTATTGTTTCTGCTGATAGCTAACCAGTAGCTATGGGTAGAGTGATCCATCCATCTGCAGAACTGCAGTGAGTATTCATGCTATTTGGTGAAAAAAGTGACTCAGATTATTTATTTGGAGTTGGTCTCTGGCCAGATCCAAGTGAGTTGCATAGTGCATTCTTTCTGAGGTTATCTGGACCGAATTCAATTCTGTAACACTCTAAGAAGTGAATAAAGTCCTCCAATCTGCCAGCTTGGCCACCTGTTGGTTAAATTCTAGCTCTTTCTGGGGTATCAAAGAAGCCCAGAAAGTGACTATGGGACGGGTCCATGTAGTATATCATCCTCTGGCAATGGAAAAGATGGGTGGTATGCCTCAATAAACCACTGGACCCCTTTGGTTGCTTCCAATTTTGTGAGCTGCAATAGCTGCCAGTTGGATTCTGGATGTAACTCAAGGTTTTGGTTGTTACCTATAAAGCCTTTCCTGGCATAGAGCCCAAGTTATCTAAGAGGCTGACTGTCTCCAATTGCTTCTCCCTACTCAATATGTTCATGCAGAATGGGTTGCTCCGGGACAACCCCACAAGAAGTCATGTGGTCATCATGCTTAATGACTGCTTTGCTCAACGATTGAGATTCGGGTCCCAATTGAGCTTGCAGGTTGAGGACTACCTGTATAATTTTGGTAATATTTATAGTGTGAATCTTTTGCTGTGCATATTGGCAGATGAAATTATTGTATCATCACCTCTTCGAAATGAAAAAAATATGGGTGGATTGTTTGGAAAACAAGTTGGATATATTTATATATACAGTGGAAACCAGACCACTTCGGGTCATGTGACAGACCACTGCAAATCATGGACTTCCCCTTGTCCTGAAGACTGGGTAAGTTGTTTGTTAACTACACTTAAACTAGTTTTTAAAAAACTAGTTTTAAATTATATGTTTATTTAAATGTAAAACACTACGTTTAAAATACCTTTTAAAAGTTAACTCTGATATTACATAAAACTAAGCAGCAATATAATAGCACAACCATATTACTGCTTTATAATAAAACTATATTATTTCAGAAACATACCTAATCTATTACATATATGTTGTGAAGCTGAAGAATAAAAGGTATACTAAGTTACCTAAAAAGAAACAAAACAAAACCTAACAAAAATAAGGCTTCAAAAAAGGTGGAAAAAAAATACCTGACTATACTAACTAAAAAAAGCAAAACACCTACTAAACATTTATCTTTTTTACACACAAGGACACAAATTGATTAAAACATATGCATGTGTACCAAAAATTGTATGATTGTATACTGCTCCTGCTCAGCAGATAGTACCATTATATAGAATCAGTTTCTGCACTGAAATGAGTTTCCATAGTAGAAATCAGGCATATTCATCAACTCAGAAACCCTTTAGAAATATTTGTAATTGATTATTGTACTAGTTTTTTATTACCATCGGAAAGTAAGAAAAGAGAAAAAAGGAAAGGGTCCGTGTCATACAATAGTAGAGAGGTCTCCATACTATTATTTTACAAAACTACCCTAATAACGAAATTAAATTGGACTTGTGATTCCTTAGAAATTGACAATTTAACAGTTAACTAATTTTATAATTTTGTGGGTTAATGAACTCGAAGTTCAAATAATAAATGTCTTGCTGTTTCTAATCTAACATCATACTAATAATCCATTAGAACCAGGAAAATAATCCTCTCATTTTCACTCAACCAGACCCAAGCATTAAATTATCACAAGTAGAAAAAGGGTTTCAAACAGTATGGATATGTAACTTTGGGACCATATTTAACATAGATTTACTAATTAATCAATCACGATTAGCATAAGATATAGTGATTAAAGTAGGATAACTTTAACAACTGCAATGTTTAGTAAGTGTAGAGCTTGTTCCTGTTATTGAATAATTGATTTCAATCAGATGTTTGGCTAAGCAAAAATGTTTAGAATCACCCATTTTCATCTTATTTTGATCGAGGACAGTGGCTTTTGGAGAATTGAAGCTTAAGGCACAGCTAACAGCCAAATAAATCATGTCTTTCCATTTACCTAGCAGGTTGTCAAGAGAAAGATCCTTGCTAGAGAACAAATTACAAATTAGTTTAACAACATTTGATATTGCTTAAATGTTATGTGACGCAACCTATAACATGTATCTTTATTTGGTCACTAGAAGCTGTTTGCTCGATAGATATTGTATTCCAATACTGCTGTTGCTCATTGTAGGAACTCGTTAGGAGCAGCATTGAACACCTTAATTACAGAGTATGACATTGGTGGCTATATATTCTCATTGCAGGAAAAATCAAGATTTGGGAGTGCTCTTCTTACAATAAAAACTGGAAAAAAGGTAATTAAAACAAGTAGTACTGGTTTTTCTCACAGTGGAAAAAAAGGCCAGATTGTAAATCATTTGCTGTTTATTACTAGTAAAGAAAACGTACAGAATTGACTGTTTCAACTCACAGAAAACCAAAATCATTTGTAGAAAAAACTCCATGCTAGCTACATCTTTTTTTCCTGACCATTTAGCATGTAATGGAAGCTTTCCAATCTGACTTTATTTATCTTCCGTTCAACGGTGTCTGATTCTCGGATGACTGCCTGGACAAATCCCTGCAGTTTTCTTGGCAAGCTTGTTCAGAAATGATTTCCCATTGCCTGTTTCCTAGGTCTGAAGAGAGAGTGACTGGCCCAAAATCAATCAGCTGGCTTTGTGCCTAAGGCAGGACTAGAACTCTAGTCCATTGCCTTAATCACTAGACCAAACGGGTTCTTAAAGTAATTTAGTGCCCTCCAGATAATTTCCCCAATTCCTAGAAGGCCATGCCGGCTGAAAATTCTGGCTGTCATTTTCCAGTCAACAAAATAACCTTGTCACAAAAATTTCAGGATATAGTTTTTTCCCTATGATGCAGAGTATTAATACCTGTTTTCTGCCTTGCAGAGTGAAGTTGTTGTAGCTGCTGAAAGAAGTTCAACTGGAGCCCGACTTAGTGGAAGGCTTTTTCTTTACACCTTCTGATTATCATTTTGTGTTTCAAAGAACCTCTTCAATGAAGTAATCCTGAGTTTTGTGCACCAGTAATTCCTGCATAGCAAATCTGCTCCTGACTTAGTATGTGAACAATACTAAACCTTTTAAGAAGTTAATCATGCCTCTTAAAATTAGTGTATTTTTTTAAGATATTCATGTTAAATGGAATAATGAGAGGAAGTTTTTCTAAATCTTTTGCAGCTTTTGGTCATTAGCTATTTTAACAGTTGCATGACAACAGATATAGTCTTATTTTTAAAAAAATTATTCCAACAGACTTGGATTTGGTATATTGGAGAACAAAGCCAAGAAGAATCCTAAATGTTGAGTTAACAGCATCAATAAAACATTTTTTCTCTTTATCTCTATTATTATAACTTTATACATTATTAAGTAGTGTAACAATACTTCTATAAATAAATGAGTTGAGGCTCCAGACCTTTGTGACCTTTAAGAGAAACTATCTCAGGCTAACAGCCATTTAAATAATATTTTTTATTACTGATAACTCATTTGACCTCCATTGCATCAAACTTAAGTTTGTTATCTTGCTCAGTTGTTGAAGACTGGCCCCTAGCCATGATTCATGGCTAATCATATTGACATGACAACCTGGAGAAAATGCAAGGTATTGAAATGTTTTTCCTTCAGAACAGATAGTTTACCTAGCATATTTCCAGTCCAAATTAATTTGTCCAGTGATAGGAGTTTGTACATCCTCTAAGCATGATCCTTTCTAACCATTAGAGAACCAATATTGGATAAATTCAGTAAATTTCAGAAGCTGGCTCAATATTCCAACTACGCCATTAAATAATTTCTATAGCTCATGTACAGAAAGGCCTAGGCTCGATCCCTAACACTTCTAGTTAAAAGGATCAAATAACAGATGGCAATACAAGAAAACTACTCAAAATTCAGAGGAGTTGTTGTTAGTCAGTATGGACAATAAGTCAAGACAAATATACATGTCCCAGGATAATGTTGCAGGATCCAATCTGGGATGGTCACCAGGACTAGAGGTTTAGTCTTCTGAGCTTTTGGACTTGTGCTGGACCCTTTTCACGCATTCTGGTGAGAGAGAAGTTCCCCGGGGATAGGGTCCAGCACAAGTCCAAAAGCTCAAGAGATGAAACCTCTAGACCTGGTGACCAACCCAGATGGGATCCTGCAATAAAGGAAGAACCTAAGCTAATACTATTGCAGCTTATCCTCCAAACCAATTCATTCCCAATTTTGCCTACTGTGAATCAGGTTTTCTTGATACTATTTAGGATAATAATTAACATACCATCTTAAGTTAAATGATCTAGACAACGGCAGATTTATTAATTTGCCTTTGATGCAAAGCAAGCAGTAAGTACTGTTTTTCTGACTGAGTAGCATTTTGGAACCATTCTGAATAAAGTCATATTACAACAGCTGTCATGAGACTGATGCTGCATTGAGATAAAAGTACAGATAACTCTTCACTTACAACCATAACGGAACCTGCCCATTACGGGTGACATGCCATGACAGCCATTGAGTGTCTCACTTAACGAACCCTATTCCTGCTCTCACCAATGCAATCATTAAATGAATGTGCAGGTTGTTAAGAGGAGCGTGGAGTGCCTCAACAATCTGGAAAGCTGTTTTTTAAGGGGGCTCCACAAACTTCTCAAACAAATGAAGCCTCCTTAAAAAGGGGGATCCTAAAACAGTACTAGTAACTCTATTTTTGGTAGCTATGACAGAAATATAAAACTGAGTAAAATAAGCTTTTTACCTTTCGGAATCCAATAACTGAAGAGTTAGCAATAAAACTATCTTTACAAAATACTAAATCTAAACAATAGAACATGAAATTAACATTCTGGTATATTATTTTCATAAAAAGAATTTGTTATCAGAGATAACACTATTTTTACATAAATATATCTTACTCTTTAGAAATAATTTAAACAACACTTTTGCCTTCTATGAACTATGTCTGTGAAGGAATACATGTAAAACTATTATTACGGTAGACATGGTTTTCTTATGCTGGCAAAAGGTTAAATTTTATCAAAATTCCCACAGAAGGCATTTGTTAAAGAAAAAAAAAGGTTGTTTTTTAACATTTACATGATTTAAATTTTCTACTGTAGTATTCAAAACTCTGAAGTCTTCTCTCCATTACTGAAGATTTTTAACTTCGTATTTTTGGGATATAACACAGTGAAATGGTAAAGGCTGCTACATTTTTTAAAAAAACGAAATCCAGGATGATAGTCTCAAGTTCAAGTTATCCTGGTGTATTCATGTCATTGGCTGGTCATTGTACTTCTGCTTGACTCAAAGGATTCTGTTTTGAAAACATTCTTAAACTCTACTTTTCCATTGGCTGACTGCGCTTTTTTCAATAAAGTTGGCATCTAAAGAAGGAAAAGATAACAGAATGAGGATTGTGAAAACTGGTGAGGAAGGTAGCGTTGTGCTTAAGTAAGCAAAAGGAAGGTTGCTTGTGGACTTGTGGACTTCAACGCCCAGAATTCCCCAGCCAGCTATGCTGAAGTCCAGAGGTCTTAAAGTTGCCAAGGTGCACACCCCTGATCTATACCGTACTTCTGTTTATGAACATTGGCAGCATATCGCTATTTATTTGCTTAAAATATATCAAACACTAAATATAATATAGTATCCTTGGAGAGTGTAAAGTCATATCTAATTAAGGTACAAAGGGGAAGTCTGGCTTGTTCCTTAGACAACAGCTACTCAAAATATGCTCTCTGATTCAAATGGAGGTTTATCAATCGTGTGCATCTCTGCTAAGTTATGTACAACCATTGCTAACCAGAATAAGTTCTTAAAGGACTACATTTGACTTTTTAAAATTGGAGCTTCTCTTCAAAAGCCTGCCAGAAAGCAGAGGTTCATTCTGACTGTTATTAAGAATTCTGCCTGAAATTAGGATGTATTGTCTCAGAGGGTAAATGGTGCTGTGATCACAACAGGAAGACACAATTTAAGGCAGACACAGCAGCAAAGCCATACTGTAATGAATATTCGTATACAAAATAATTTTTCAATCCTTAATATCCTTGCAAGCATTTTCAAGAACAAAGAGCTAAGCAATAGAAATAAGAATCTGAATAAAGCTTGTAGATTAACATCACTTGGATTAAATACAGAGGAGCGAACTAGAAACACGCAATAATTCATTGTCCTGTTTGTTTTATTGACATCCCACTTTTATTCAGGAACTCAAGATAAGTGTACAGTATTCCTTTCTCTCATTTCTCCCCCCATAACAACCCTGTGAGGTAGGTGAGAGAGAGTGACTGGGCCAAAATCACCCAGTGGACTTTTATGGCTAAGGGTGGATTTGAATCTGGGTCTCCTTGGTGCTAGTCCACTATTTTAGCCATTACAGAACACTGGATCTCATGTACTTAAAAATCTAATACTTCAGCAAGATACATGGCAAACTAAGCCTCTTCCATACAACAGACACAGAAGAATGGTTCTCTTCCAAGGTCAACACAAAAAATCAAATCACAGTTGTCCTCTATAATCTCAGAATGCCAAACAAGGAATAACACCCTGAAGTTATAGGAAGACAAGAATCTGATCCAATATTAGAAAATTATACGCTACTCATGATTCAAACTGAGTTTTGTTGATGGTTTTATTCCCAATATACCTGCATATGAGATTTAAGCTAAAATGTTGGGGAGGAATGAGGTAGCTTAATGTAGTAATAGTGAAAACATACTTACTGGTGGAAGCATTGACGGTTCTAGATGCCGCCCAAGAAATGTAAGCAGGCGCCGCCAAATTAAGCCACTGCCTAGGAACATAATTCCTGTCACCAGCCAAAACATTCCATGGTTCTAATATGGTAAGAGCACAGAATGAATAATTCTCACCTCAGACCTTGCATTAGTTTTTAAATCTTACTGCATTTTTTAAAATGACTCTTAACTGACAATATTAGATTTATTTACCCAGGGGTATCACTTAATACATCAATCCTTAGGAACGTGACATGGAAAGTGAACAGATCCCTGGCATACACAATGGATCCTTTTCTTTCCACTAGGGTTCATTAAACAAAGACAAGGGCTTTAAGCTTTCTTTTTTCCTCATTTACTCCATTGGACCTTGCAGAAACTTTTTCTGTCCTTTAAAGAGGACTGGCTAAAGAAGACAGCTTTCGTTCAGATATGGTTATGATCACAAGTACAAATTTCACCAAGTTGAAATGCCAACCTTTTGATGTAACCTCACATAAAACAAGTAAGGCTGCTATTCATCCCATAAAGAAAAATATAACACATAAATAGCTTGAGCATAAATAGTCTGAAACAATGCTCTCATGATATTCATTAAACAACAAATATTCTACTGTCAAGTTCTAATAGCCAATTAATACAACAATGCAATTAAGAGCAGCCTTTGTGGCTTTACTGGAATATTTTACAAAAATATCTAGAAATGATGTTTTCAGTATTGTTTCTTACCTCTTCAAACGATGATTCCAAATTCATACCAAATGCTACTCCTATCAATCCAAAAAGCGAGATTGAAAACGTACCCATGGTCAGCTGCAGGTTTAACCTCATCATAACATTGCGGTGGCTAAAAAGGTAAAATATAACTCTGTTAAATTGAAGGATTAAATGTGACCTTTAACATTTGCTTCAGAGATTTAAACAACTTTAGAGAAGATGCTCTTTCATACTTGCTTCTAGAACAGGGATGTCAAATTGCTGGCCCGTGGGCCGGACGTGTCACCAGGAAACTGCGCCCACCCCATTGCCGGCAATGGGAAAAAAGCTCCGATATGTCGCACGACATCATGTGACGTCGCGAGTTTGACATGTCTGTTATAGGAGTAGCAACCCAGTTTACAACCAGTTTTTTTAAAAAAATAAACCACTAGCCACTACCACTTACATAGTTTAGCCCAGTCTATGGTACCATCAATTTAATGCTACTGTTGCTCTAGAACAGAGTTTTTCAAGCTTGGCACTTTTAAGAATGTGTGGACTTCAAGTCCCAGAAGTCCTCAGTCCACATGTCTTGAAATTGCCAAGTTGGAAAAACAGTATCCCAAAAGGATACTATTCCCCTATTCCCCCTATCTTGCCCGTTTGGCCACCTTGCATTCTGCTGTCCCTGTTGTCTCCAGCTGATCTTCTTCCCACTGCTGAAGAGGTGAGCCTGGCCAAAGAAGCTGCTATTTCTCCCTGAGACCTCACAGAGGCCTATAAAAGGTCAGCAGCTGCCATAGCAGGCACACCTCTGTGGCAAGAGAAAGAAGACGGAGAAATTCAGCTGGGGGGGAGGGGAGGGGTGGCCAGATATCCAAAATGGGAGGAGAGATAAGTGGGTGGCACACCCTGCAGTTATAAATGTAAGTGGGCTGCCAAGCACCCAAATTTTGATCATGTCACCACAGGTGTAACTTTGAGGACTGGCCATAATTACCATTCCTTTAGTGCCATCATAACTTTAAATAGTCACTGAATGAATGGAGTGGCTGTGCAACTTGTTTAAGATATGTGTGAAGACCTGACTTAACGCAAGCTTAACTTTGTGGAAACTTTTTTGAACATGTACGAAAATGGCAGATGGACACACCGACATATATGTTGGTTAACTTGCTTACTAGGTTTTCTGCAGCGGAACAGTTACAAAGGTTAGGGACTGCTTATGTAATCATAATAGCTTATGATTAAGTTCATTTCATTATTGACAGAAGACTACCAGTCCATCTCTAGAACCATTAGCTTCATTCAAAAAATTAATTCATCAAAAGCAAAACAGACTTTGTCAAGTTAGCATTGATAATGGAATGTCTACAAAGCATAGCAATATAATTTATTAAAATAACCAAATAATTTATAGGAATAGAAAATAAATTTATTCATTTCATCTGAGAAAAAGCTTTATAAACAAAACTATTTTTTAATCTAAATGTCAAATGAGTTTTAAAAAGTGTATGTTAAAATTTAACAATATGTTTCACACAGCTAACCTGTCTAAGTTGATAAAGATGATACTTTCAGAATCATCAATGAGTATTTTAAGTTCCCGGGTTTCATTCATAAGATCTTCTGCCTGCCTGTAGTAATTTTCCAATAGCAGTTCCATCTCCTCCACATGGTCAATTCCAGAAAGACTTGCCTCACTGTGAACAATAACCATAAGACTCATTGCAATTAGAAGCTATTGTGATAGTATATGGCAATAATACTATACAATAATGGAAATTCACTTTTTATCGACCAAAGAAAGTTCTTTCTAGCAGTGCTAAAATTAGAGGATCACTATCACTTGAATGACATCTACAATGAATGTAATATCAAGAGTATTTAGCAATTAGGAAGAATCTTTAACTGTACATTGGATCAGCAACTCCATCATTCATCTTCCTCTAATAGGCATGTTCAAATTAGGGTTTGCACTTATGGCAGGAAAAAAAATGTTTCTCTATCCTGGCCATGGAAATTATATGTACTTATTGGAGAAAAATCTAACAAACTCCTGATTAACTTGTTTACCTGACAGATCATATTCTGTTCTTATTCTTCAGGCTTTATATTTCAAAATATTTTTAAAGTGAGATTTTCAAACTAGAATGGCTTTATTAATAGTCCATGTGGAATACAAGCTTGTAAGCTAACTAACTGTGGGCCTTTTTAATGATTATAAATTATCTTTACCCAGAAGACAAAGAAGATAAATGGATAAAAATATCTTTAGTAAGAAGCGTAGAAATGGTACAATAATGTGGTAAATGTTGTGGATATATAGTACTATATTGGAATAAATATAATATCCTGTACACTGGTGATAAGATAGCTACAGCTAACAAAACCCTGACTTCTTTATTGCTTTGATCTTGAGAAAATCCTGTACAGCTCAAATAAAAGAGGATATTAAGAGAAGGGTGAAAATGCTCTATGAGTTTGTGGGGAAGAATGTATGAAATGAGCATAGCTTCAAGGCTTAAACACATTTTGGGAATATTTGTTGTGTTAATTCTATTTATATATTTTAAACGAATTGACAAGTTAATGATAATTTTTAATCGATGGCAAAAAAAAAACCCTAGGATTTTTCTGTAAAACTATAGGTTTTATATGAAAATGGTGATTTCAATGGCAATGAAAGCTCTGAATGGCAATGAAAGCATTATGTTTTGTTACTATGACTCGTATCCTTATCACTCCCGACTTAAGACTACTACAACACGTTCCGCATGGGACTGCCTTTGAAGACAGTTTGAAATCTGAAGCTGATCCAGAGCGCAACAATTCAGGTGCTCACTGCAATTCATTGGTGGGAGCTCATTACACCAGTACTGTGGGCCCTGCACTGGTTTCTAACAGGCTTCCTGGTCCAGTGTTTAAAGTGCTGGAATCAACCTTTAAGCCCTATAACTTATCTAGGTTTCTATTTATCTGCTGGGTCTTATTTTTTCCATTGGAATTGACTTGGCCATTTTGATTTCACTGGGAGAATTTATTAGCAGAATTTACTTTAGCAAGTTGAGGGGGGCAAAACTCAGCAGAACTGCTTTTCAGCAGCTGCATCAGCTCTTTGGAATGGCCTCCAGCACACATCCAGTTAGTTCCTATCCTAACTTGGTAAGCTGCTCAGAAAAGGGTACTTCAGAGCTAATTTTGGCTTTGGTTTCACCTTCATTTGGCTATATTCTGGTTGGATTAATTTATTATTATTTTATATTTTCATTAGTTGCTGAACCTTTCCTTTTTATTTACTGCAGTGTAAATATACATGGATGTCAACTCCCAGAATTCTGGGAGTTGCATGCATTAGAGTAGGGGTACCCAACCTCCGGGCCATGATTCGTTCAGAACCGGGGCACGGAAGTGGTGGGTGAGCATGTGCCCGCCGCTCGCACAAATGGAGCTGTATGCACTTGCATGCCCACTGCTCACTTGGAACCATCCCCTCCCCCCACCGGTCCGCAAAGCTGGAAAGGTTGGAGACCGCTACATTAGAGTTACCAAAGGTTGGGTAACACATCTTATATATTCTTATTTTTTCCTTGTATCCATGGAGATTATAGTAGTCTACATATGAAATTAAAGAACAGCAAATATTTTGTTTGATTTGAAAACTAGGCTGATTACAAACAAAATCTTTTGGGCTTTATTGGGCTTCCCAACAGATGTTTAGAAAGGGCTGGCAGTCATCCTACATGAGAGATTAAATAAATTGGAAGCCATTCTAGCACACATGATCTGGTCACATTCTCCAGTAAAATATTAATACAATGTTGAACCAGTATTTTGGAAATTAAGGTTTAAAGATGTTAATGTTTATTTTAGTATATCCACCAAACATAGAATTTGCCTATCCTGGATTAGAATAAAAAAGGTAATTATGCCATTTAGGAAGTTCGGGTTTCAGATTCTAAAGGATGGGTGTCCAACCTTTTGGTTTGCCTGGGCTGCGCTGATTGAAGAGGAATTGTCTTGGGCCACACATAAAATATATAATAGATGTATATAAATAGCAAACTTCCTTTTTAAAAAATATTTTTTATTATATCTTGTGGGGCTGCATTATTCCAGGGCCGCATGTGGCCAATGGGCCATCTCTAAAGATTGACTTAGTGATGAACTAGCTTTTTACCAACAGAAAAGGAAGATCTTGATTTACCAAAGTGTAAAACCACGTTGCAGCAATTTGAGGTTGTAGAAAAATAGATAACATTTGCCACTACTATATTATTTGACTTTATTGCTCATATATTTTCTCATCTTTTAATTTTTTGCTTCATTTTTCTTCTGCTGTTTTGCTTTATGACTTGCTAGTTTTACAGTATTCAACTTTTTTATTACTCAGTTCGGGGTGAATTATCTGAATGATATTCAGGGTTCTGCTTTTTATTTATATTCCACCTGTACTCAAGAAAATCAATTAGAATATTTTTTAAAAATAATGAAACCAAACTTAGTTTTGACTAAAGTATACCATGTAACAGAATTCTATTGTAAGTAGATAATCAAACAGATTTTGATGACGGCCCACTGAAATGCATTTGTCATCCTCCACATTTTACAGAAACCACAAATTTTCAAAGGTCACAGGTCATTAACTAGTAGCAATAATAATTGTCAGACAATGGTTAATTGGTTTCTGATAAAACAGCATTTGACATGCTTTTGAGGGGAGCAGTATATGTTCTCGGTACAGCTATGCTGTGCAGTTTGTGCAGTGGAAAATTAAGACATTTGGAAACGTAACCAGTTTAAACAAACAAAGGAACTTATGCTTTCTCCATCTCAAAAACTTTGAAGTATAATTTGGACCATCAGAAACACTCTTTTATAACCTATACTTACAATACTTCTGGATCTGTCCATTTAGTCAGACACAGTTCTTCCATGACTTCTTTGTCATCTAGGATTTCCAATATTGTCTCTTTGAAAACTTTAAGATCAGTTTCTAATTCTGACAAACTAAAAAATAAAAGCATAAGAGACCTATCACAAAACATACTATGTTTTTCAAATTAACCAATATTTCGCTGAAGTTGTTTGTACATATGAGCTTGCTGTTAGATCTCTTTCTGGGTCAAGTCAAAATCCAAAGTGCAAGTCATTCTTGAAATCTCTTTACAGCTGAGCAATAATGTGGGTCATTTATGCTTAGACATAAACATTTACAGCAGCTTCATGTTATATGAAGCCACTGAAATTAGAATCTGTTATCTGGTTTCACAGATACAAAAATATCTTTAATTTAAAATGTAATGAAGTTGGGACCTGCCACCTGAAATATATTGTTGCCTTTATGAATCAGCTGGGATTTGTAAGAATCTGGTTACCTCTCTAATGTAGCAGAAAAGGTTAAGTGGTAATAGCTTTAACACTATAGCTTTAATACTACTATAGTGGTATTAATATTTTTAAATTTCATTATTAATACACCAGTTTCAAACAACTCTCTTAACCAAGACTTTTAAAAATGACTATTATTTGATTTTCTGCTATTGTTAGTTCTTAGAGTTCAAAGGCATTAAAACATTTTCTCTTTGTCACTCTAATAGATTTGTAATATAAAACTAAAAGAGAAATTTAGGTAGTTTGTTTTTATATCGGGCTCAAAAAATTCATCTGTTTCAGCAATGGTTTACGTTGTCTTATTTCCACAACTATGTGGTGTTAAAATTGTTGCATCAAAAAGATTATTAACTGCATCGAGTAGAACTGAACAAGTCAATTCAGCATTCAAGACAACAATCTACAGTGCTTTTATCCCTGCCTAATATTTAGTTTAAGCCAGTGTTTCTCAACCTTGACAATTTTAAGGCATGTGGACTTCAACTCCCAGAATTCCACAGCCAGCATTGCTGGCTGTGGAATTCTGGGAGTTGAAGTCCACATGCCTTAAAATTGTCAAGGTTGAGAAACACTGGTTTAAGCGATCTGTTGTAATAAGTGTAGTTGTTATATAATTCAAGAAAATGGCTGACTACAATTTACATTAACAAGGTAATTGAAGAGACTGAAGGTAGACTTGCTTACCTCTTTCCATTTTGCAGTAAGATATGGACTTTACTCCTATCCAGGGACAAAAGCTTAGGATCCACTAAAGCATTCAGCGTTTCAAGAATTTGAGGCTGCAGATGGCTAAGTTTGCCAGTCAGGTAGCTGATCTAGATAACAACATGATCCTTTATAAGAATTAAAACAATTCTTTTAGAATGCCTTCTAAAAAAGTCCTTTTGTCCAGCAAAACAGACATATAATCTTGAAGTTATAGCAAAATTGATAATGCAGGCTGAAATATAGGCAGAACATCCTTCCACTGGAACTAAAACCTATACCAACCTTATCAGTATACGGTGATGCATAGTGAAATCTTTTATTATTTTATTTCTCATTGCCACTGATTTAAATAATGAATTTAATGTTATTATGATATTGAATTGGATATGTATGCAATAACATGCAACATATCAATATTTAAAAGTAAACATTCGTGCTCAAAACTGCTTCTGGTACATGCCAGTTATTACACTGCACAAAATAAGCGATGTTTTTTTTAAAAAAATGAAACCCAGAATATCTTCACTTGTGGTCAAGTATCCCTTTTCACTTTCCTTGCAGGGATCTCACAATATCCTTTTTTTATTATTATTATTATTATTATTATTATTATTATTATTATTATTATTATTATTATTATTATTATTATTATTATTATTATTTTTTGCATTACACTAATTACAGGAGTTGTCAGGAAACTAGCTCAGAAACACAATCTTTAAATACAGAATACATTAATAACGATAGCCATTTGAAGTAACCTATAGAAAAGGACTGCCTTTTAGCCACGATTCTCATACAAGTAGTCCTAAACTTACAACTATCCATTTAGTGACCATTTAAAATGACAACAGTACTGAAAAAAGTGACTTATGACTGTTTTTCACACTTACGATCATTGCAGCATCCCTGTGGTCATGAGATCAAAATTTGGATGCTTGGCAACTGACTCGTATTTATGATGGCTGCAGTGTTCTGGAGTCATGGGGTCACCTTTTGCAGCCTTTTGACAAGCAAAGTCAATGGGGAAGCCAGAGTCACCTTACAACCCTGTTACTAACTTAGCCACTGCAGTGATTCACTTAACAACAAAGATCATAAAACAGGGCAAAATTCACTTAACTGTCTTGCTTAGCAATGGAAACTTTGGGCTCAATTGTGGTCATAAGTTGAGGAGTATCTATATTTATCTGCCTCCTTCAAAAAATGATTATAATGTTCTCAACCCAAGGTCCTCCATATATGTTGGACTTAAAAGTCTCTTGGGAATTTGGAGTTCACCATGTCCAGAGGGCTCCAGTTTGGGAAAGGCCACAACAATCACTCTCAGCACACCATAAGCATGCTCACCCAAAACTGCAGTATTGCTTCTATAGCTCTGAATTCAAAAGGCAAAGAATATGTAACTAGTTGACCTTCTCCAGCTAGCTGAGATGCCAGTTCTTGGAACAGCCATTTTTCCATATTTGAATTGCGATAATCTAGGATCAGAAGATACTCTGGTGTTATCACAGCCTTCAAAAACTAGAAGAAGCAGAGAAGAAAATTAGCCAACACCTAATATTTGTTACATATTCTTCAGTTGTTACACTAATACTATCTAATCACAAGCCCAAACAGATTTGTCTAACATGCCCTTTGAACTGTTAGTTATGATTTTTTTTTAAAAAAAAATCACACTATGTGTGATTACTCAGACTCAGGGATTTCAAAAGGATTTTCTCCAAAGCAAATAGGTGTAAAATTCTCGGCTGTTTCAGTGAAGGTGTTTCTTTGGTAATAGCTTTGGATTTATATGACTTGTGTTTTGTTTTTTTTACTGCCGTGATCCTAACCTTCAAACTGTCTCCTATTTTTATTTGTTGCTTCTATTTTTTATGGTTTTGCTCATTTAACCTTAGTTGCACTTTTTTTTTTTTACTGTACACCTTCTGATTCCATCTTTCCCCTGAGTTCTCCTATCAGATACTCTTTGAAGTCGATTAGGCGAAAAAAAAAGAAGACTGTCTCAAGATTTTCAACCAGGCTTCTTGATAAAATAAAAATATGACCCTAGGTCTCTTTGACGCAATTTAGAGGTTTTGTATTGGCTCATCTCCGCTGTACTTTTTCTCTCCCATTTTCACCATGTTTTGCTATTTTTCATGGTACTATTCAACTCCCGAATTTACCTCATCTCACCTCATTTCCCATTCTAATCTTTTCTGTAACACTGGCACAGCACAAACCCAAAGGCAGAAACTCCTTTGTTTTACTGATTATATACAAGGCATTTTGGAAGTCTTTGGGAAGAAGGAGGAGATAAACAATATCTTACTTATCAGTAAATAAAAGAAATACGTTGCTTCAATTAGCCAAGTGTAAATATTTCAGAGGTTTTCCAAATAATTAAAAACTGCTAAACCAACATTTGTATATTCATATATTTTTCTTACCTCCATTCTCATAATAATTTTGTTGTTCCTAGGTGTTATATTTACTTGATGTTGAAACCGTAAATCCCGTGCTTGAAGACTTAGTTCCTGATGTAGTTCTGTTTTCTTTCTTTCTGTCCCAAAAAATTTTTTGTATAGAAATATGAAATGAAAATGTAGATCACTTGAAACAAGCAGATTATTTCTCAAAGTTATCGCTTCAACAAATACAACAAATATCTGAAATTTAACCAAAAGTATTAACAGTTGATGATAAACTGCCCCCAAAATATTAATGTTGCAATTACCTATTTAAAAAATTCTAACATGGCTGTAAAATATTTTTCTTGAAGTCGTAAGTAAAAAAGAATTCTACATACCATAGGAGGTAACATTGCCTTCTGTATCAAATTTCATCTAAAAGGAAGGAAACGGAATATTTTTAAAGAAGACAATAGCACTGAAATTAAATAAAATTTGTCCTATTTAATATGGGTGGTATTTCCACTATTCCCTAAGTATCAAAATAATTAAGATAGATTTCTATTGAATTTTATATATTCAGAAATAGGGCAATAATTGTAAAATGAATTTTACAATTCATGTAATAGAGAGTGCTTTGAAAAATGCACTGTTTTCTCCTATGGATTAGAATAGTAGATGTGGACATTGTTTTATAAACTAAAATATCCAAATGTCTTAGCATAGTGGTTAACAGTATGAGAATAAATCAGTTGTGTAAAAGTGTTATTGCAGTTTAATTCTAAAATGATAGACCTCGAGATGTCTCTGGAAGGATTGGACTTCAACTCCCATAATCCATAGCCAGCAGGTTATCTGGAATGTCATGATTGGAGAAGGCTGCCCAAAAAAGTGCATTTAGATTTGTCTCTCAATTCATTTATTGACAATTGAGACATGCATACTTTCTCCTAGCTAGTGGCCCAATGCAGGATGAATTATTTTTAGCCCTTCCAATTTTTACAAACTATTCTTTTCTACCCCGACTGCAACCCAATGTTGTAAATGAACCCTGCATTTCATCTATTACTTTCCATCTCTATTCCTGCAGCATTTTGTTTTCCTCTGTGAAGCGTGAGTAATCCTTCATCTATGCTTTCCACTTCATGGCCTTGCAAGGGAACACTTACCACTGAAAACACTGGTGCCACACTGGCTAAAGTAGCCTGAGTCACCTCTGTACTGCAGTGTCGAGAAAGAGCATCTAAAGTGAATAGAGAGAAGCAGAGGAGAAACACTCTTAATAAAGAGTAGCTAATATGAAGAATCAGCAGAAAAGTTGTCCAATAGTAAATACCACCCATCTTGAGAAAAGATGCCATAGAATAAAAGGTTATTTTTTTTTTCAGCTCAATTCCTGGTTACATTACAGGTACAAAGCAATTTTATTGGCAACAAGATAGAAGCGATGGACATGGTCTTCCAAGATGTTTTTTCAAATTCTCAGTTTAGGCTATAGCCCTGGTAATCCCTGAATATCTCCATCCAAGTACAGCTAGTCCTTAACTTATAAACAGTTCATTTAGTGACTGTTCAAAGTTACAACATCACTGAAAAAAGTGACTTATGACCATTTTTCACTTATGACCGCTGCAGCATCCCCATGGTCACATGACCAAGATTCGGATGCTTGGCAACTGGTTCATATTTATGACGGTTGCAGTGTCCCGTGGCCATGTGATCCCCTTTTGCAATCATCTGACAAGCAAAGTCAATGGGGAAATCAGATTCACTTAACAACCATGTTATTAATTCAATAACCACAGTGATTCACTTAACAAATTGGAAAGAAAGGTCTTAAAATGGGGCAAAACTCACTTAACAAATGTCTCACTTAACAACATAAATTTTGGGCTCAACTGCGGTCATAACTTGAGGACTACCTGTACTAACCAGGCTCACCCTACTTAGCTCCCAAACCCAGCAAGGTTGGCCAGGCTATGCTACAGAATACAGATTCTCTATTTTTGGCACAGTCAGCAATTGCATAATATTAGCAGCCTTAGCTTGCAAATCTATTACTGATCAAAACTTTCACGGGTCTTGATGACAGATTAGGTTACTTTCAGAAAGTAAAAAAGTTTGATGATTTCTAATGAATGCCTTGAGACAGCAGAGGACAAGAAATATTTATACGTGCAAAAGTCTCCATCTCTTCAAGGTATGTATCTTTTTTTTGTATAAATTTTATTAGTTTTTATAGGGTTAGGAATAAGGTGCGGTCGGGGTTGGGATTTGGGTTAGGATTAGGGTTTTTCCAAATAACATTCTCAATATTTAGCAAACAGCTAATAGATAACAGTTAATAGATAACAGTTAATTATCATAAACAATATTTTAATTAATCGCTCAATATTTTTCTTGCTAATATATATTCAAAGTTACATATCACATTCCTTTCTAACTCGTTTTTCTAGCCATTGATAGAAATTATCCCATGTTCTAAAATACACTGAATCTTCTTTCTCTTTTATCTTTAAAATCAATCTATCCATTTCTGCACATTCTAGAATTTTCTTAATTAGTACTTCTTCAGCTGGTAAATTTTCATTTTTCCAATGTTGGGCAAATACAATTCTTGTTGCCGTTAGTACGTGTGGTATTAAATATATGCAATCTTTCTCATAATTTGCTCCTATTATTCCTAACAAAAGTAATTCTGGCTTAAAGTCTGTTCGTTTTTTAGTCATTTTCCCCAACCATAAATGTATTTTAACCCAAAATCTTTTTGCTTTAGGACATGTCCACCAGATATGATAAGTACCTGGTCTTTGTTTGCATTTCCAACAGTTGTTTGAAGTATTTTTAAACATTTTTGCTAATCTCACTGGTGTCATATGCTATCTGTAAAACATTTTATATAAGTTTTCTTTATATGCCACTGCTTTAGTTAATTTAACATTTCTTTCCCAAGGCATGTATTTTCAAAATTGCCCTCAACTGTCCGGTGATCGAGACAAGGTAAGAAAATGAGCTCCTTATATTACAGCAAATTTATAACGCTTGTGTTTAAGCCAAAGGAATGATTTGGGAAATCATAATAATTTATACACATGCAAATATATAATTTCTACTGAACATGGATGATAGGCCTTTCTGCATTAAAAGCTGAAGAGCTCATTCATCTTTAAGTCAGCATCAAAATGAACTGACATGAGGTCTGTGGCCAATCTGAATCTTGACGCTACTGTCCTGTTCTAATCACCGTAGACCCTTACCTCCCTCCAGTCCAAGGTAATGTCTGATGAACTCTAGATTTTACATACCTTAGTTTTTCCAATGATGAAGCTGAAACGAGGCATGTATTTGGAGTGGGGTGGAGGACACTATTTTAACTCCAAGTCTGTTTCCTTTTTTGGCTGGCAATGAGGTGATGGGGACAGGGCCCCCTCCCTTCCCAAGAACATGCTTGTGCTGGGGCTAGCTACAAGTGGGGCAAAGCCCTTTTTCATTTGCATCTGTCATTTTGATGGTAAAGCATGCTGAAGAGGAGGGATAATGCATTATTCAGCCCATTATGGCAATTCTAATTCAAAATCTCACCTCAGAAGGTGGGAAGAGAGAAATGGTATTTTGCCTGCCACCCTTTACCCTGATCTTGGCTGCATGTAAACCTCTGGGCTTAACTGGAATTCTTGAAAGCACAGAGAGTTATATAGCATCCCACTATTTCGGTACAGCCAGCTTGATCTGGTAGGATTGGGGCACTCCACATTCCATTGATTAAACAATACAATCTGTCTAGGCTCTGGAAACATTTCTGTAGTAGCATTTGCCCTCTGGAATGAAATTCCACCCAAATAGCTCCCTACTGATACTTCAAAAGACCACTAAAGACCTGGCTCTTTGCCTAGGCCTTTGGCTAGGCTGACTAATGTCTCTTTCATCTTTTTTTTGTGTGCCTCTATTTGTTTTTTTTTGTGTGTGATTTTTTTTTGCTATGTGCTGTTTTTGTGTGTTGCTTTTTATTCTTAAATGTTTTTAACACCGTATACTACCTAGAGTTGCTGGGAATAAGGTGGCATATAAATTTAGTATATTATTACAGCATTATTTATATGCTAAAGGTTTCAACCCGACTTAAATTAACATTAGAACAGTAAGCGGCTCTCTGAGCTTAGTTGTTTGCTTGCAAATGATTCATTACCCAACTAGATACCATCATCTGTATAATACCAAGCTCAGAGAGCACCATGGAGTCCACAGTTCAAGCCTGAGTAACATCTATTTTCTTCTATTTTAACATTTAACCATTTATTTTGAATGTTGTTAGTAACTATTCTGGATCATCATTGATCCATGTACCTTGTATAACTCTATGTATCCCTATGTAACAGGTCAGGGGGAGGAGTTAGGGTCAGGGGCGGAGCTTCAAAAGGGCATCCCTGGACACTAGCCTGGGGTTAGTCTTTTGTTCTTTGGCCATCACATGCAGCCACATGGCTGGAGACTCCACAATCACCCCACCATGTGACGCTTGGGAGAAGAGGGGAAAATCTAATGTCAATTTACCTGTGGGACAATCAGATTGCAGAAACCTATTTTGGATGCACCTCTACAAACTGTAAGTCATTGTTTAGGATTCCCAGAATAAAGCAATATTTCCTGTTTGTTCCTCTGAGTTGTCTATCTGTTCCAGACTGAAATAGAGCAA